CTCTCTTTAAGACAGCCCTTCACTTGACATGTATCTTCCAATATGCTTTTTATATTTAACATATCATGTGTTTATACTCACAATGTATCGAGATAGCGATACCTATAACTGCCCAGAAGCGTCCTTCACGATCCTTCTACATAGAGGCCGATCTTGGCACCGCTGTTACCAGTTTTCGGCAAGTTTACTTAGGGCTCGGTCCTCATGTACCACATCAACCCATATCTTCTCAAGCCCCTGCCGTGCCTGTTGAGCCCCCTCTAAATGGCCAAACGGAAGCTGCTTGGTCATGAGGTGACTGGGCATGTAGGGCAACATGACCCGACCAATGCATTCTTGTCTCTTAGATGGACTCTGATGGGATTGTGCCCAGATTTTCCAAGTTACTGCGAATTCCCACATAGTCCAGTTTATTTAAATCCAGCATAGACCGCAGGCACCGACCTGAATGTTTCAAGCAGGTGCAGGTGTTCTTGTAAGTGGGTCCACATCTCGCAAGCAATGAGAAGAGAGGGCATAATTTTGGTGGAGAATAACCACACAGTTTCCACACAGCGTTATGCAGCCGATAACAATATAATGTCACTCAACTGGTTCGGAGTAAGCGCTACAATACAAAGCAATAGCTGCACTTGAGTATACTACCCACATAAAATGCACTGTATATGTGTAGGTACCATAGACATGCGTGTATATCCCGTGCATAAAACATGTTCTCGATTGATTTAAATAATGTTTCCTTTTGAATTAAATTCAAGACAAAAATATTACTCTTTTACAACAAATCTAGCCGTTCATACCAGAACACGTAAGGAAGTAAAACCGTATCGACAAAAGATTTAAAGTTCCAAACGTAATGCTTATCTTCTGTGAAAGAAAAAAAAGACATATGTTGTGTTCATTTGGGATGTTCACACAAAATATAAAAGTATAAATTAATAAAAAGGCAAAAGTTGGAATTGCTTTTCAAACGCTGAACTGTTGTAATGTTTCAAGCGTAACTGCAACACTTCGTCTTGCTGCAGTCTGAGAGCGCTGTGACTGTGTGATCGCAGTGGATATATTTAATGTTGTTTGAATTGTGCCCGTATTAATAAAACAGAAGCAATTTATTGAAATGCCGAAGCATTACGTGACATTTGCCTTTTGTCGGGTGTTGCTTTTTTAATACAAAAAGTATCCATCTATTTTGTATGTTACGAGGTCAGGTCAACTGAGCTGTAGAGCTCTTTTTCAGAAGTAACCTGGTCACAAATGATAGCTCAACAAAGTGGCTCATCACGTGGAAATGTATTGCAGCCAAATACTCTAAACGCGTGTTTCTGAATGTGGAGGGAAAAACCGGAGGACCCGGAGCAAAATCCACGCGAGCACGAGGAGAGAGACACGCAAACTCCAAATATACAGCAGCAGGCGTCAGGGTCGAAATCGAACCCACGACCTCCTCCATACCAGGCGAGGAAGTTAACATCTCACCACCGCAGAGCCCAGTAGGATACGTGGCAAATAATGATGAAATGATAAAGGCATTGGTGAAGCAGCATCAAGCAGTGTTAGCAAAACAATTCAACACAGTCGTCAATAACACTCTGACGATACTCCCTCTGGCAATACCCCCTCTGGCAATACTCCCTCTGGCAAAACGTCATCGATTGTATATTTTCTTCTTTTAAGTCCACAGTGGCATTGACGAATGGTGAGTTGTATTTTTGTTAATTGTGCACCACTGGCAACCGAACGCAAGCATTACCGACAACAAATAGTTCTGTCAAAACGGTATTGGTGTAATTAATAAGATGCGTACGATTTTTTTACATCTAAACCGTGAACAAAAAAATATTTTCGGTTGAAGAAAAAAAGCGCGTACAACTAGTACGCACAACAAAAGTCAAAAGTTTCGGGATAACTGGGTTTCACACGAACGGTTGCTCACGACGACTCATCGATAGACCCCACACATATATGTTCACACAGCTACATCATCAGCGAGCTCTAGTCTATTTTATCCCGATGAAGCACGATTGAACGTCTAGAACAATAAACACTGTGCTGTCAGATGCAGAGTAATGCTTGGCGACAAACGGGTGCTGATGCCACAATGGCGCGCACACTTCCACGCACGAATATGATACGGTGAGGCTGCTTTTCAGAGTGCACCAAATTCCTCTTCGAGACGTGTCACTTCACTCCTACGACTACACGAAATGCGCATCACGCCGCTAAAGTGCGAAAAGTTAATTTCGAACGGTTTGAGGTACATGTCATGCTTGTTTCATAAGTGGAAAAAATGCATGTTTAATTCGTTATGAAAGTTCAAGTAATTGTGTTTAAGCAGCTCATATAGAATCCTATGGTAGCGGTTTAATGTACAGAGCTACCTATATATAGTGCGACACACATTTGTATATTGTTTGCATCTATCGTATTCATTATACAATGACAAAATGATAACAGCAAATCTCGAGAAACTCAATTTCCTTTCTCTTCTCAAATAGGTCGCAAAATTAACTCTGATGCAATATTGACACAGTGCAACATTAACATTTTATGACCAAAACATCCATTTAAATTGCAGGGCCTAGTTCTCACTCTTTCAACAACAAAGTTGCAAAAACCCGTCTTTTGAAGTTCTATTTAACGGTTAGCATTGCTTTGGTATAACGAAAAAAAAACCATTATTAATGCAAGCTACGAAAGTAAAAACAAATTAATACATGAACGTTTAATAAAGTAGCGATACTAAAAAGAAAATAAATCTGTTGTGGTAATAATAACAGTGCAACAAAGTTGAGAGAATATTTCCCATCGAGAGCTAGGGCTGGTGGGGGGGGGTGTGCAAGTCCTCTCGCCCCTCCGAGTTCACTCCCCTTAGTAGTGAACCACTCTGGTGGTGGTGCCCCCCCCCCAACCCACGGCTCTCCCCCCCCCCACTCCGACCTGGAGCCGGTGCCACCGAAAGCCACGATGATCAGAGCAAAGAGCTCGATCCGTAACCACCAGCAAGGAACGGCGGCCGAGCTTGAATTATAATTATGCGAGCACGTGAGCGATTCCACGATATGAACTAAATATGTTCATAAATTCTTGGTTCTTTCGGTAAAGTCACGTAAAAGGGAAATAAAAAAAATATAAAACAATCAAATTCTCATTTTTACATTATTTTTTATTTCCCTTCTATGTGACTTTACCGAAAGAACCAAGACTATGAATTCCTGCAGTCACGAAAGCTTTAAATCAAAATATGTTCATATGGTTATTTTGGCAAGCGGGTTTCGCAGTGCGCCCTCATGCTCAGTGCATTGCCACGCGTTGACGCAAACTATGAGGCAACGCGCCTGGATATGTTCCGTATTATTTCTGTGAGCTGATATTACTTTTATCTGTGTGCAAATCGGTGGAACTATAAACTATTAAAACTATGACCTCTTATTTATTTTACCACGTAAGGCCCACTGAGCTGTATAACCCTTTTTCAGAAGCGACCTGGCTATCACAAACGATAGCTCAACCAAGTGGCTTATCATGTGGAAATGTATTTCAGCCAAAAACTCTAAACGAGTGTTGATTCTAAATGGGGTGGGAAACCCCTGGACGATTTGGAGAGAATTCCACGCGACCATTGGGAGAAACAAGCAAACTCCAATCATATAGGCGTCAGGGTCGGGATCGAACCCACGGCCTCCTGTATACCAGTCGAGCTTTTTAAACGTCTAGCCACCGTGTCAAATGCGAAACACCGGGTTTAGCCGACAAGCGTCGAGTGTTTCCACCGCAATAGTTGAACAATGCCCCGGCCAGTGTACAAACCGCACGCGAACGAAAACGATGCACGCAAAATGTTCACGTGCAAGCTCACTTTGTTAATACGTTTGTAACTAACTCTATTTGAAATGAACAGCAAAGCTATTCCGATTGAATTTCATTGAAAGTGCTTAAAACTTCCAATTGCATATTTAAACAAAGGTCAGCGCGATGCATGTTTATATTCGTAAATAAGAGGGTGTTTCAATATGTTTTGAGACGTGTCAAAATTGTGTAACCTGTAAGTGCATTTTTAGGTCAGATTTAATAGTAAATACGAGCATAATCCTGCTACTTGTATGCAGTATATTTTCCAAGATTTGACCACTATATGGATGATCAAGTGCAAGGTTCAAGTTTATTTTGTTTAACCAGATGGGCACTCAAGAAATCAGGATAGTCTCATTTACAAGAGTGACCTGGGGAATTAGTCTACCAAGAGGAGGCAACGATTTCACTTGAATTATTGTATCATGTCAGAGATGGGGACACCCTCCATATTACGTGACAAGCACTCCCATTTCCCTATATTTTAAAGCAAAAATTGGGGCTGCGTCTTATAATCGAGTATATGTGTGTGTGACCAGATTCATGCAACTTTATTGACACCGGAAAAAATGTTTGAGGTGCATCTTAATTTCCAGAGAGTTTTACAATCTGGACAATACAAGAGTAAATTATGAATTGTGGTTAAAATTGACAAGTGGATGGAATGAACAATGACAGAAGCAGTAGGTCAATCGATGCCTGAATTCTGGAGAGCATCGACTCTGCTGAGAGCCTGATTTGCTATGCAGACAAAAATGTCGTGGACTATTTGTGAGAGTGGTGCTTCAGCATTACAATGCATTCCGCCACACTTCGCACAGTGCAACGATATACTTGTTGGTAACTCCTGGATGGAATGTTCTGGAATTATCGGGTTCACCACCCAGCAGTGGCATTGACTCCAAAGCGAAGCTTCAGTGACGAGCCTATAAATGTTGGCCGCTGGGACAAGTGTATTGCGTTATTTGGGTCTTTCGGTAAAGTCACGTAGATAGGTTCAAAGAAAATAACAACAAAATGATTTAAAGCTTTCGTGACTGCAGGGATTCATATTCTTGGTTCTTTCGGTAAAGTCAAGTAGAAGGGGAATAATATCTACGTGACTTTTTCCGAAAGACCCAAAAAATATGAATTCCTGCAGTCACGAAAGCTTTAAGTCAATATTTAAGTGTATCGTAGTAGAGGGTGACTGTGCCAAGCCTCGGCAGACCCTCAATTCACGAATTCACTTGTGGATGTACCTGAACATCCATGAATGGGATTGTTCTCACACTCGCGTTACCCATCGCTTACTGGCCCTCTTGACTCTCTGTTGCCGACCTCCCCTGTCGCGCTGATGTAATATTCCTAATGATCATTCGGAGAAAGAATTGGTCACGGGTGGCGCGCAAACAAATCCTGGCAAGAAAATCGTGTCTTCGCGTGCTCACGTTCTTATTCTGTTACGTGTGTACTTTTGACTAGAGGAAACATGACGTTCATAAATGCGTAACACTGCATCGGTACGGTATGTAACGCAGTTGATCTATATCGGCTGTGGCGACATCGTCTGCATATTATATGTGCGGATAAATATCAACAATACATATGTACAATCGCAGCATAAGTGCGCACATTTATATACATATTATTTAATATATACATATGCACAGTATGTCCATATAGGTATATGAATGTTTTCAATTATATTCACATTAATTTAATACACATTTAACATGTTACTCCTGGATATGTTTGTTAAATATGATGGCGTTTGGGGTAAACAATACAGATACATTAAACAAAAGCACTACACTTTAATCTTACTGAGACAATATTAATTTACATAGATATTTGACTGGTTTTCTACAGCAAGTGTATTTTCCACATTTTAATGGCATCCTAATGTTTCATTTCCATTTCATTTTCTCTTACAATTATTATGAAATAAGCAACACACTACAAGTTGTGATCGTGTAAAATGAAAAGGTGGAAACACACAGTTCAGCATATTCTTGTTTTTTTCGGTAAAGTCACGTAGAATGGAAATAATAAAAATAAAAATTTTCGTTTTTTTATTATTAACTACTTTTATTATTTAAAAATAAATTATATTATTATGTTTTATTTTTCTTATTTTCTTATTTCCCTTCTACGTGACTTTACCGAAAGAACATAGAATTTGAATCCCTGCAGTCACGAAAGCCTTGATGTATTCTTTCACGCAGATACGATATCGTATCAATGTGACGATATGACGATTATCGCGATATTCAGTGTCCTATATCCTCGTAATTGTATTTAGCATCGTTATTGTATTGTTACTGTGCTTTTCCGGACTTCTTGCACACATGAAAACCACTTAAACGTTCTTCAGCTGCAGCTCACTCAACGTAAGCCTGCTACCGGTCTTATTTTCTTTGCAATCTGTGATGCTTATAACGCACGTACTGACAGAAACACGAAGATACGCATACATTTAGGACTGCACAATTGACGTCATATAATCGCCATGCCGTCAAATCTTCCGAAAAACTTTTACAAAGCAGTAATGTAATGTATAACATCGATTTATTTACACACTTTAATTACTACGTTTGTTATTTGGTAAATACAATATTAAGCAAATTGCATTGGTTAACGATAATCACGATATAACGATATTTAGCAGAACGGACGATACTATTTTTGTGTCGAGGTGTCGCCACATTGCAGCCAACCCTACCACTACTCCTCGTCGAAAACACTGACACACGATTTAACGTAAATTGATCAATTATGTGACAGCCACGGAAGTTAAACGTATACAGTGCCGTGTGTATTCATCATTTGGACAGCACATGCCCTTAAAGATATTCACACGGCAGGAAAAGAAAAATGGGTTTGGTTAATCTACAGTTTTAATCGAGCATTTTAATTTTCTTAGATGCATTTGCTCCACTTAAGCTTGACACCAAACCTGCAACGTTTTTCAATTTGTGGATTTTAGTAGACTGAGTGGTTTTTTTCTATTTACTGGTAATAACATTACAACATAAACACAGTACTTAACCAAAGTAAATAACTTTAATTCGTTTATGAAATGTCACACTAGTGGTGCTTTCACACAGCAGCGTGCTTCTCATGTACAACTTTGCACGAGTTACTTTTGAGGGTGTTCTTTACAGGTGCCCCTGTTGTACATTTTCTTACGCCAGAATCCCGTAATTATTTATTTGAAACACGAATTTTGTTCAGTCATGCACATTAAATAAACCAAAAATACGTATCACTATATACTGTACATATAATACATGTATTTGTATGGATGAGTCTATAAATTACATACATACTTTACATATTAATATATGTATATACGCACACCGTACATTAGTGTACAGTTATGCTCACGTATATACTTTACACACACGATACATATACATAGTTGTAGTAGTACACTACAATTATGAATAGATTGCGATAGCATACCGTAAGAACAAAAAAAATTAATCGGATTGAAGTGAAAACCAAAGTTGACAATACTCACAGATCTTCTTGGATGGATCTGCAGGTTTATACTGCTGTCACTGATGTGCGCACACGATTCAGCAACACTTTGTAAATGTCGCCCGGAGAGATGACGAAAATACGCTTTAACAGGTCACACACACACACACGTCCTGCTTTGATGCTCTTGGGTGGCCACCGCAGGATTAGGCGGAGGTGTTCATGCGAATTGCTTTATGTAGCGATTGGGTATTGAGGATTATTATGAGGGGGGGGGGGGCATCCCTCGCCCACGCCCCTGGCACCATCGACCAGTGCAGCATCCGCGTGAGTGAAGCACATTCGTGAGGGGCGGCACACGGTTAATAGAGGGGGCCCTGTTTTGAATTGGAAATCATTATCAGGTATTTTTCGCTTCTAAAACAACTACAGGCCAGCAGAGAATGTCTCAAGACCACGAAACGCATCGTTAACACGGGGGACAAAATAGATCTGTGGGTCCGTATTATTATTTGTACCAGAGAACGAAGATACGGTTTGATGCAGGAGGGTTGTACAGCATATCGAGTGCTGCTGTATGTGTGGTGACGATGTGACTGTGTGTAGCTACATTGTTATGAGCATATATATGGTAATTAGCAAAATGTACAAGAAAATAGCAGGGATAGTTCATGTATGTTGAAATATTGTTTGCATTCAAAATTATTTGAAGTTTTTCTTTGTGCGTCTCATATGTTTAGATATATATTTATCTTCAAATGATAGCTGCTTATGAAATGAGTGACTTCGTGGTGTTGAAGCAGGCAAAGTGGCTGATGGGTCACTTTGGTTGTGATGACTATGCACAAGGTAAGACCCATAGTCGATCGTGATATGGAAACATTTTCAACAACACAGTGAAGTGACGTTAAATTAACTGGAGGTAGAATCACCCTCCCTCTCTTTACTGCCGCAAAGATGACGGTGGAGATTCACGAACATGAAATGCGGAATGTAATTCACCTGACTAGCAGTGGATAGTGAAATAGGACATTTTAAAATAATGCCATCAACAAAACTCGATCAAATGCCACTTAGCTCCTACAGCTGCATTAGAGTGGCATACTGATATCAATGCGCCATGCTAGCAACACAGCGATCAACTCCACACTCGGCACCTTACCCTTAAGCCACCGGCCTCTGTTTGGCCTTGAGCAAGCATTGGAGAAACTGTAGAGTTATCTGGGATGCCGTTGGCCAGCGACAGCTTTACCATTAGGCCCACGAAACGTGGGAACTTTAGCAGTAAATCGCACACAGCGATACATGATGTATCCCTATGGGCGCAGATCTTCAGGAACACAGGCATAAATCAAATGTTAGCGTCGTGTACAATCGGCCAGATAGAAGATAAAAAAAACACCATCCAAATAACACCTGGATTCAACTTCGATATGGGTATCTCATTGCACCCCTCATCTATGCAGAGAAGCCCGCGCGTTTATCGCCGAGCTATGGAGCGCTTCAGCTCTCGTCACAAGCTCACTGCCTCGCCCACGCAGCTGGAGCGCCGCTCGACCCGAGGTCCTAACCACCGGGACCCCCGTCGGCGTCGGCCAGGGTCCAAAGGGGCCTCCGTTGGCCCCGGTCTCGGCGCATCACAACGCGGACGCGGACGTCGAAGGGGAGGCCGACGTCGACGCCGAGGTGGACGGAGACGATGGAGGCTGGGGGCTCAGCGACCACCAGCGTCGGGCGTTCTGCCGCTTGCTGGTCATGTAGCCGTCCATCTCCTCCTCCTTGCGAGCGCGCTGGTAGTGGTCCTCCTCCTTCAGGTACCAGACCGGTGGCCAGCGGTGCAGCTCAAAGTACAGCAGGTTCTCTGGTGATGGGGAACGACAAAGCCAGAGATTTGGAGTCAGGAACGAGGGCATACGTTGCCCGAGAACAGGACGATGTACGTGTACGCCATCCCAACGTTGAGATCAACTGAACACGCATTAGTGTTTCACGTTTTGAAATTTCACGTTTTCCAATTTCAAGGACAATTTCAGTTCTTTGTGTGGATTTTAGATTGTTTACGTAACAATAAAAGCCACATCACCCCGATGTAATGTGACACCAACTGTGTGACACCACTGCATGTGCCGTCGTATTTTCACGCCATTCTAAAACAAAATGTGTTTATGGACCGTCTGACATTTCATATCCAGGCCCAATAGTTTTGATGTTTCAGTTAAATTCGATTTTTCTTTCAAACACATCCTAATACCTGTGTAGTGACATAGGACGTCACTACTGTGTCGGCCCGTACGAGGGCTAGGGGCCCCAAGGGGGTGCCTGGGGGGTCACGTGGTGGAGGACCTGGACCTTCCCAGAGGTGGGGGAAGGGAGGCGTGGCCTGAGCAGAGCCAGCCACGCCGGAGCGGTTATAAGCGGGGTGTGAACGCAGAGTGGGGCTGTTCAACCCCGAAGTGAAGACGCCATCATCGGTCCTCAAGTCCCGGGTCGTCGTCAGTGACCAGGCAGCCCGTTGCCTGTCCTGGTCACGCTGTATAGTGTTCCAGAGTGTTAGTGAGTTGAGGAAGGTGGTCACCACCTTATGTACAGTGTTATATTACTTACTGTTCTAATAAATAGTGTTGCCTCCAAGCTGTGTGTGTGTGCACCTAATTCGAACCACGACACCTGCTATTCAGACAAAGCATTTGCTTTTATTTCCATAGGATGAGGTGTGACCTACATATTGTGATGCTAATTATTGTCGTACTCTGGGCCTCCGAAGGAGATGAGCTCCATGTTCATTTTAGCATGGAGACAATTTGAGATTCGGTCGATTGTATGATGATGAAGACCACCATTTACATCGCTTAAAGTCACCGTCATAGCTGCTGCTATTTTGAATCACAATAATCTCGCCATGATATTTCAGATGGAAGGTGAGAGTCTCGCTATACTAATACTACGAACTCAACAGTTCTGTGCAGTGGAAAACATTTGATCTATTCCACACATCCCGTACCAATTTCCTTAATTCTGTCTTTACCTTCGGTTAGCACGGTTGGCTACACACAGTGCGAAAGAAGTTCAACATATATGCATGCATTAATAACCTCAATATACTAATAAATAAGGACTTCATGCACACATTCACCTGGACTCATGGCCCGCATCTCTTTTGGGTACTTGCGGCAGACGCTGTTATAGTTGGTGCAGATGTGGTGCAGACACCAGGCGGCCAGCTGATCCGCATTGTGGAACTGTGGGGAGCGGGGCGAGGGTCATGAGTCAGATGCAGCTGCATGTAGCGAGCAGAGCCACCTGCATGCAGACAACGCTCTCCTGTACTCAACTTCGTTAGTGTCAGAAAATCATCAGAGCAAAGTGCAGAGTAAAGTCGCCCTGTCTGTGTTTGTCGGGTCTGTACCGCGTGTCGTAGGCACGCTGTCCGACGTTTTGCACCGCGTGCCAAATAATGTTCTACGGCAGGAACTACTCGTCCAACTTTTTGCATCACGCGCAGGGAGATTCTACATCGGGAACTTAAGAAGCCCCGGGCAGCACGCGGAGCAAAACGTCAGATGTCATGTCAAAAAACACACGGTATGACTCAACAACACGATGGAGAGCTGTACGGCACAATCGCGAAGATATACACAGCGGCACAGTCCCAATGAGAGCGACGATTGGTCTGCAAAATCCACTTGTGGATAATTAATATCGTCGGTAATTTTGCATTTGTACCCAGTTGTGTGATTTCTACAAAAATGGTCGTGTGTCCTGATACGTTAACATTATTAATGATTAAAAATGATCTCTGCTTTGAACTAAATCTGTCCATATAAAAAGTCTCACATGGCATTCGTGACTTTTTTCAGAGCGGCCCTAATTGAGATTTTAAGCCAATACACGTTTAAAGTTCTGCTTGATGTGCTGGAAAAAAATTCGTAACAGAGGAGAATATTGAAAGAGTGCCCATATGTCTTGTTAGAAACCTGCATGCAGTGATGACCCCTTACATCGGCACCTCTTTGTCCTGCAGGCGGGTTCTTTGTGCGCATCACGGAACTGACAATTCAACACGGTACTTTCATAAGTTCGTGGCCCAGGAAGCCTTCTTTCAAGTTACTGGTTAAATATTATATGGGTGTGCAATGCTACCAATACTGCTGACAGGGCCCAATGTAACCACGACAAAGTCACGCAGGCTAACGGGCTGTTTGGACATGCACCACAATTCCCATTTATTTGTTCTGTTTGTGCAAATTAAGCCACTGCACGCTGCATGCACCTGGTGGCGTGATGTTAACTCCCTCACCTGGTATGCAGGAGGTCGTGGGTTTTATCCCGACCCTGACGTCTGTATATTTGGAGTTTGCATGTTCTCTCTTCCCATGGGCATGATTTCATTTTCTCCGAGTCCTCCGGATTTTCTCTCCACATTTAGGTTTAGAGTATTTGGCTGCTGCATCAATGTCCACGTGATAAGCCACTTCGTTGAGCTATCATTTGTGACAGCCAGGTCGCTTCTAAAAAGGAGCTACATAGCTCAGTAGAGCCTTACCTGGTAAAAAAACAATTGGTTGGTACCATCATGTTTACCTGGGCCAACTCCAGGTAGACAAGACACTCCCCGTCGATGTCAGCGCCGCGTTCCATGGCCCTCCGCAGCTCTTGAACCGCATGCTGCTCTGCACGCCAAGCACAGCACCATGAACGGTCTGCATTTTAGCGCCGCCGCAGCAATACAGTCAACTCGAGACTCTCCGACATACCGTCAGATTCTGCCGTGTCATGTCGTCCGACACGACACACTGACGTCGCTCCGCTGCACTTGCTGGGAGCTTGGAACTCAAGTGAAGTTCCCGGCACGTGGAGCGAAACGTCGGACGTCGTGCCGAACAATTCGCGGTACGACCCGAAAACGCATACGAGAGCCCATGCTTCACAACCGCAAAGACCAGTGCAGTAAATCCACACTGTACAACCGTTTCAGGACCCATTTTCAGGCTGCACTATTAGTTGTTTGAATATTGCAGAGCTGCTCTTTGTGTGCTTCTCATATCTGCATTCAATATTATTACGCGGTCAAAATGGGATTTTAATCTTCAGGATTTTCCATGATGTGCTAATCCAGTTCCGATATCATACAACAACAAAAATCACAATGAGAGTTGTCATATGCCATAAACTTTACTATTATCTTCAGCACTCTCGGATCAAAGCCAAATCAAGAGACGTTTCACTGGTCTGCTTCTCTGTATATATTGCCTTTCTATGACTGCCTTTTCGTAGCATAAAACACTGTTATGTATTCGACTGAAATTGCAAGAGTCAGAGAGATGGAGCCTTAAGAGAGTGGTGCTGTATGGCTATGAGGGCCTACTTGGAATACATTAGGGTTTTCACGATATCATTTACTATGATATAATACAAAATCATATTTCAGAATATGATCATCGCGAAATCAGTTTCCCATAGGTATGTAATTGTGCTCACATTTTGCTGCATTGTTTCACGCTGTTGTGATTGTATCTCGAAATTCGGATTACTTAGAATGTCTTCCACTTCAGTTCACTCAACTTAAGCCTGCCATAAGACCTATAATCATCGCAACTCCACAACCTGTAACGCACATTACAAAAGCAGTAATTAAGCCGAGAAACTGCGAAAATGATCGACCTCACATAATCGCCATGCTGCAGATTACTTGCGATTATAATTTCGCAAATATTTCACCGGGAAAGAACGTATTTAAAATATATATATAACGAGCAAAGATAACTATAACGTAACGATATTTAGCAACACGGACGATTCGACGAACGTGCACCCTACACCGTACCTCCGATCACCACGGTCACACCTCCGATCAGCGTGGTTGGCTACGTACGGTACGAAAGAAGTTCAACGTACGTACGCATTCATAGCGATGCCACATCACGGCAACCCGAGCAAGCATGCACCAGAGCTCACGACGACGCAAGGGCAGAGAAGGTTGGTCAAGGATACCTGTGAGCGCCACGAGACGTGGGAGACACAGCTGGTTGCCCAGAGCGATGAGCTCAATGGGATCCAGGTGTGAGTTGGCTGTGAATTGGCCAGTGTACAGGTACTCGAGCAAAGCCTGCAGACACGCGCGGCTTGTGCCAGGGAAATAAACCTGTGGAGAATAGATCACGCGGCAGGGATACGGTCCACACGGTTAGTTTGACGACCATGTATTGTACGTTTAATACTGGGGTTCTTTTTGTTTTATTATGATTATTATCTATTTTATATCATTGTTGAGAGATGGCGGCAGCTTGGGGAAGGCTATAATCCAGCAGTGGATTGACCATGGCTGATGATGATGGTGATATCCAACGGGTAACTTTCATTAAAAAAAACGTTCTTTAAAGAACGTGCAGGAGCATCGTCCGATGCTTCATGATGGCTCTCCCTCCTCACCCGCTTCCCAGGGGGGAGGCCTGCTAAACGCAGCACCACTTAGCAATTGCTACGTTTTCACGTGAGTCCTATTGAAGGGAAATGAAACGTTGTTCTGAGATATCAAGTACCAGGGCCCTTCCCTGACCTGGCATGACACGCTGCTGACTGAAGTGATTCCAAGAGGATTATTCTTCACCCCATGACACGACTCTGATAACATTTGTAATTAAATATCCACGCACTAAAAGGAAGTGACTGTAACTTAAAACGACCACACATTTGTAATATGCACAATTGGCTTTGCTCGGTGAGCCAGGGTTTAGCTGCTCAGATGGTCCGATAAAGAAAACATACAATGAATAATAACTTTAAAAAGTCTTCTTGGTTCTTTCGGTAAAGTCACATAGAAGGGAAGAAATAAAATAATAAAAATAAAACATAATAAAATAATTCTCACGACGTTTCGGCCATAACGCAAGCAGCCGTCCACAGGTGAAGACCAGGTCTGTCGGGGAGACAGCGTCTTCCCTTCTACGTGACTTTACCGAAAGAACCAAGAAGATGAATCCCTGCAGTCACGAAAGCTTTAAATCGAAATTTAGCTTTAAAAAGCTTTCCATTTGCACATTCGTCTTATTGGGCATAGGGCACGTGACCTTTGGCCACACTTGCCCTCACCACCCCCAAATCCCAGGGTACAGAAGTTATCAGCAGAGATTAAAATGGTGACTCTGGCAGCCTGTGAATAATCTCAAATGTTTAAGCACTTGACCCTGGGAAAGATGAAAGGTCGTTCCAGTAACCTGCGGGAATTAAAAGATGCCGTTACATAATTAAGCAACTGCAAGCGCTTTGAAGATCTTGCAGGACGTGCGATCCCATGATGTTATTGCAAGTTGCTCTCACGTGAAAACGTCGCCATTGTTAAGCGCTGCGTTTAGCAGGCCTCCCCCTGGGAAGCGGGGGTGGAGCCATCATCGTGGCTGTTTTCAGGACCCGTAATTTTGAGGCGTTGTGAGAGAGAACGGAGACCCTGAAGGTGCAATGGACTACCGGTCGTGGCAGATTGCTCGTGAGGCTGATGGGACTAAAGTGGGACAGTCCTAGTTTTGTCCCTGATTCTGGATATGTGTGTATGTTGATCTTCTTTCGCACCGTTCGTAGCCAACCGTTCTAATCTTAGGTGCGGGTCGAAGGACAACAAACTAAACACAAAAAGGGGTCCTAGAGAAATTAGTTTTAAATCTTGATTTAAAATTGCAAAGCTCCGGTGGCTTCCTAATATCACAAGGAAGAGTGTTCGAGACCGCCGCGGAAGCGCATCTGAAAGCACACGATGCAGTGACGGTCTTTGTTTGATGGTTAGACAAAGAATGATGTGTTAAGACTGGTAATGTGTCTCTGCTTGTGTCAGTGAGAATAAATTCGTATGGCACAGAATTCAGCTTCACAATGGACATTTTAAATGCAAAAGCAGATTTCAAATGTCAGCGTTAACATGATGCCATCAAAGTTGTTTTGCCCCCATTAACATTGAAAAGTGACCCACACGGTGATCCTGGTGGATTTTGTGGATGTCAATTTTCAAGATGACAACAATGATTTTGAAGGGAATTGGTGATTATTATAATTGAGCATTATGCCGACGATCACCAGTGCTTATAAGGATGATGGTGATGACACTGATCTTGGCGATGGTCATAAATCACAATTGATGTTGATCACGATGACGATTTGAGTTATATATATTTTTTATAATAATATAACTTGGTGAGAAGGCATTCTTTATGATAAATGTGACAACCCAAGTGTGAACTCAATGACGACGACGATGGAGGTGACGAGGTGGAGGTGACGACGTGGAGGTGACGACGTGAAGGTGACGACGTGGAGGTGATGAGATGGAGGTGACGACGTGGAGGTGATGACGATGGAAGTGACGAGGTGAAGGTGACGACGTGGAGGTGACAATGATGGAGGTGACGACGTGGAGGTGACGAGATGGAGGTGACGACGTGGAGGTGACAATGATGGAGGTGACGACGTGGAGGTGACGAGACGGAGGTGACGATGTGGAGGTGACAATGATGGAGGTGACGACGTGGAGGTGACAAGATGGAGGTGATGACGATGGAGGTGACGACGTGGAGGTGACGACGTGGATGTGATGAGATGGAGGTGACGACGTGGAGGTGATGACGATGGAAGTGACGAGGTGAAGGTGACGACGTGGAGGTGACAATGATGGAGGTGACGACGTGGAGGTGACGAGATGGAGGTGACGACGTGGAGGTGACAATGATGGAGGTGACGACGTGGAGGTGACGAGATGGAGGTGACGACGTGGAGGTGACAATGATGGAGGTGACGACGTGGAGGTGACGAGATGGAGGTGACGACGTGGAGGTGACAATGATGGAGGTGACGACGTGGAGGTGACGAGATGGAGGTGACGACGTGGAGGTGACAATGATGGAGGTGACGACGTGGAGGTGACGAGATGGAGGTGACGACGTGGAGGTGACAATGATGGAGGTGACGACGTGGAGGTGACGAGACGGAGGTGACGATGTGGAGGTGACAATGATGGAGGTGACGACGTGGAGGTGACAAGATGGAGGTGATGACGATGGAGGTGACGACGTGGAGGTGACGACGTGGATGTGATGAGATGGAGGTGACGACGTGGAGGTGATGACGATGGAAGTGACGAGGTGAAGGTGACGACGTGGAGGTGACAATGATGGAGGTGACGACGTGGAGGTGACGAGATGGAGGTGACGACGTGGAGGTGACGAGATGGAGGTGACGACGTGGAGGTGACAATGATGGAGGTGACGACGTGGAGGTGACGAGATGGAGGTGACGACGTGGAGGTGACAATGATGGAGGTGACGACGTGGAGGTGACGAGATGGAGGTGACGACGTGGAGGTGACAATGATGGAGGTGACGACGTGGAGGTGACGAGATGGAGGTGACGACGTGGAGGTGACAATGATGGAGGTGACGACGTGGAGGTGACGACGTGGAGGTGACAATGATGGAGGTGACGACGTGGAGGTGACGAGATGGAGGTGACGACGTGGAGGTGACAATGATGGAGGTGACGACGTGGAGGTGACGAGATGGAGGTGACGACGTGGAGGTGACAATGATGGAGGTGACGACGTGGAGGTGACGAGACGGAGGTGACGATGTGGAGGTGACAATGATGGAGGTGACGACGTGGAGGTGACAATATGGAGGTGATGACGATGGAGGTGACGACGTGGAGGTGACGACGTGGAGGTGACAAGATGGAGGTGACAACGTGGAGGTGATGACGATGGAGGTGACGACGTGAAGGTGACGACGTGGAGGTGACGACGTGGAGGTGATGACGATGGAGGTGACCACGTGGAGGTGACGACGTGGAGGTGACGACGTGGAGGTGACAAGATGGAGGTGATGACGATGGAGGTGACCACGTGGAGGTGACGACGTGGAGGTGACAAGATGGAGGTGACGACGTGGAGGTGACGACGTGGAGGTGACAAGATGGAGGTGACGACGTGGAGGTGACGAGGTGGAGGTGACGACGTGGAGGTGACGAGGTGGAGGTGACGAGGTGGAGGTGACGACGTGGAGGTGACGACGTGAAGGTGACGACGTGGAGGTGACGACGTGGAGGTGACGAGGTGGAGGTGACGACGTGGAGGTGACGAGGTGGAGGTGACGACGTGGAGGTGACGAGGTGGAGGTGACGACGTGGAGGTGACGACGATGGAGGTGACGACGTGGAGGTGACGACGTGGAGGTGACGAGGTGGAGGTGACGACGTGGAGGTGACGACGTGGAGGTGACGAGGTGGAGGTGACGAGGTGGAGGTGACGACGTGGAGGTGACGACGTGGAGGTGACGAGGTGGAGGTGACGACGTGGAGGTGACGACGTGGAGGTGACGACGTGGAGGTGACGACGATGGAGGTGACCACGTGGAGGTGACGACGTGGAGGTGACGACGTGGAGGTGACGAGGTGGAGGTGACGACGTGGAGGTGACGACGTGGAGGTGACGAGATGGAGGTGACGACGTGGAGGTGACGACGTGGAGGTGACGACGTGGAGGTGACGAGGTGGAGGTGACGAGGTGGAGGTGACGACGTGGAGGTGACGACGTGGAGGTGACGACGTGGAGGTGACGACGTGGAGGTGACGAGATGGAGGTGACGACGTGGAGGTGACGACGTGGAGGTGACGACGTGGAGGTGACGACGTGGAGGTGACGACGTGGAGGTGACGAGGTGGAGGTGACGAGGTGGAGGTGACGACGTGGAGGTGACGACGTGGAGGTGACGAGGTGGAGGTGACGACGTGGAGGTGACGACGTGGAGGTGACGAGGTGGAGGTGACGACGTGGAGGTGACGACGTGGAGGTGACGACGATGGAGGAGATTGCGTGGACCTCACCTCTTTGTTGGAGCTCTCGACGAAGGTTCCACCGAACATGGCCGACATCCAGTCGCAGCTCGAGATGAGGATCGGCTTGTGTGCTGGCACGCTTCCATCCTCCACACGAAACGTGACGTCTGTTCCACAGAACAACAACAACAACAAATGCAACAACCACAACAAATGGCACAAATCGGGACATTGTTGTATCGATTGATAGCGTTACGTGGATTTGACTATTATACAAAGTAACTCATATCTACTCTGCCACTACAAATACAGTTCGCCATATGCTAAATAACTGGACCTTATGTTTAAGCTAATGTTGAAAAGTCACGTAGAAAATAAAATCAAATAATAATAGAATACGACGTTTCGGTTGCAACACAAGCAACCATCATCAGGTAAAAATTAATGATACAACACAGACACGGAAACAACACAGGCAGACACACATGCAGAGAGAGACACACACAAAGACACAACGAGCGAGACACACACCAAGATAAAATACAGACACAGAAACAACACAGGCAGACACACATGCAGAGAGAGACACACACAAAGACACAACGAGCGAGACACACACCAAGATAAAATACAGACACAGAAACAACACAGGCAGACACACATGCAGAGAGAGACACACACGAAGACACAACGAGCGAGACACACACCAAGATAAAACACAGACACAGCAACAGCATAGTCCGTTTAGAGCAGAATCACTGTTCTAAACAGATGTTGCGCATTTGTACTAATTCCACAGAAAATGATGATGCAATGGCAATTTAAGAAAAAGGGAAAAAAAACCTCACAGAGAGGGTTTCATCAATCCGAGGGAACCACGTTTATAGTTTAACGGGCGCAGCGTCCTGACACCGAACAGTGTCACGCGAGGCCATGAGCTGTCTGTTATCATCAAAGTCCTGCTATTTCTCACACGAGGAATGGCAGTGAAAGGATATTTCAGCCTAAGCCGACACCAAATTCACACCGGACACAAAGGGCCCACTGGGTTGCTAGATTCACAAGCCTATCATGTCGAGCTTTCGAAAGTGGCCTTGTAAAATGAAACAGTTTTTCTCACACTGTGTGTGATTTTCAGAACCTTTATTTAGACTGGAGGAATCCGACTAGTTAGGGAATCTTACAATCCAGCCATTTGTATGCTGTTAATTAATTGACGTACCATATAGTAATCATGTTGGTACCAGTAAAAAAAAACTACACATTCATAGCAAATGTAAACAGACAATTAATGCCACTTTAGTCGCACAGTAAATCCTTTCAAAGTCAGTCTAATAATAATAAAAACATAATAGTTTCAATTTATAATGCACACATTATTCGCTCACTCTCGAAGAGAGAGGCGTGGTGAACCACAGACGAGCGGGAAGGCTGCCAGGTACTGAGTTGGCATCAATAATTTCCCAAGCTCTGAGTTCCTTAATATGTGAAGATGCTTTCATTCATAATAAAGGTTTTTGGGTTAGATTGCATAAATATAAATGTGTCGTTAACCCACCACCACCTGACACAGCCAATGAGTAAGGTTTATCACGTGAACAACACGTGCCAATTAGCTATTACTTCAGCACATCGGTGTGATGGCGAGTAAACCCACAACATTAACAATTGAATATGACGTTTCGCTAGCCATTGCAACCAGCTTCATCAGGCGATTTGCCAGAATTATGAAGAAGTATTCCTGCTTCCGCTCTTAAACAGAGCACAGTAGATAACCCAAAACCCTTTATTATGAATAATATTGGTCGCGAAAGCCTACGTGTTAAGATGTTTTCAGCCAATTTGTTTATATGTTGGAGGAAACCAGAGCACCCGGAAAAAAAAACCCACACATGCACATTTTGTCCCATGCAGATGGAACAGATGGAGTCCACGTTTGCTGAACCGCCCTCTCTTGGCAAGTCTGGCGCCCACGGAAAGGGAGCGTCGCAACATCTGTACGGTGGTCCACCAAGCCCTCAGTGGCTCCACAGTCATGGTTTTTACTAAAGGCCACGTGCGGAGCCACCACTGCCAGCCAGCTACGTGGAGAGAGCCTTCCTGGTGATGGGGGATTGCGTATTGCAGCAAAAATATTTTTTATGACATAGAGCTTGAATTAATACCTAACACTTTCATTTAATCAACACTTGATATCTATCCGCTAACTACTAACTACCATTAACTAAATATCTCGAATGTAATTACACTTAAAAAAACATTACAATAGTTTGAGCGGTGTCACCATCAGAGATGGCTCATGAGATATCATGACTGTGAAGAAGGCAACAATCTTCTTCCTGTTAAGTATTTGCCGTGTAAGTACTGTATCATATTAATATTTTAAAAACTATAAAAAAATGTATTACAATACATAATATGTATTAATTTTTTTATGAAAGTAACGGACTCAGAAAATGAATGCAATGTACAAAATATGAATGCATAAAAACGTACACACGTGAATTTTTGTCAGCGTACTCAGTAATCTGTGATATGATTGTAGAATTAAGGAATGCATGGCACAAGCAGAGCGCACTTTCAAACGATTGCATCAGCCTGCCATGAGGTCTTAAGGTTGCAGCCCTTTGGCCATTAATATCTTTGCACATCAATATCTTTCAGTTAAATTCAATATGTTTTAATAAAAAAATATATTACTGATACCATAATTCTGTATCATTTCACGCTCAGCTTATTTCAGACAGGAACTGTACAAGCCAATTTATTTTGGGATTGTCTTTTTACATGAATCATTTTTTTCAGGCAGCCTTTCCATAATAACCTAAATTCTGGCTAACCCGTGTGCATATTATGTGTGCCTGTATAGAACACACAAACATCACATACACTATAATGTAAGCTCGCTGGAAAACCCAGCTACTGTATAGTGAATGTAACAGCCTTTCGCAGCTACAGGGGTCAGATGAACCTATAACATACAACATGTACACTTTGAAAGACATCGAACTTATGCACGGCAATTCCAAGCATTATCATGAGCTACGGAATCGATACTTATAGACTGAATCGATTTAACGTTACAGGCCAAGGTTATATAGTTGGCAACTGCGTCATTGCATCACGCTTTCAGGTGCATTTCTGAGGCCGTCTGGAACACTCTTCCTTCCGGTATTACGAAGCCACTGGAGCAACGCGCTTTAAAATGATCTGGATTGAAAATTTTATTTTATTTAGAACCGCTTCTTGTGTTTAGTTTGTTGTCCTTCCCACCGCACCTCCGATTAGCACGGTTGGCTACGTACGGCGCGAAAGAAGTTCAACATACATACACATACATACAAGGTTGCAATCGGCAGCTCTGAACAGAGAGGGCGGCGAGGAGGGGTGCCGATGCATTGTGAATGTGATTGCATGGGGCTCTGGAGGGCACTCGGCGGTATTCTTTATAAACCCTCTCACGCTCTGCATGCCTCGCGCCGATTTTAGCAAAGCTCATTGTCGACTCAGACCCGAGGCCCTGCGTCCAAGATGGGCCCAAGGTACTGAAGTGCACGCGGTACACACCGACGCGTGTAAGGGGAGCGGAGTGCTGTGCAATGTTACGTACCGCGGTGCTTTAACACTTGCAGTTATTAAAATGATTCACCACATTTACATTCAATGTTATTGACAGTGTATTCATTTGCAATGCATGTATTTTCAACTTGTTAATGCAATGCATTTACAGCTGAGATATCCGAGAAAGTAATCGATTTACCCGATTGCTCGACTATTCAGATTTCATGGCAATAGTTTTGGGGGGGGGGGAAATGTTTTACTTCGGCTCCCAGGTGTGCCACTGGATGGGAGGTGATGGCCGGGGGCTTGGCGATACCACCGGCATCATCAGCCGCGTCACGCTGGGTGTGGCTTGTCGGGGGTTTCCCACCTTCAGGAGGCGGGATGTTAGGGTGCTCGCTCTTTTTTAAAGGGGTCCGTGTAATCGACCACACATATGTACTGCAGTCGATTATGGGTTTCTTTGCTTGATTAATTCACTCGATCGATTAATTATCCCAACTCTAAAATAGACACGCGGATGGTACACCAGTGTGTAAATATGATTTCTGTGCTCGTGTCCTGCCCCCAGCGTTTGCTTGTGGCATAATTTCCTTCTGAGATGTAATGTGCAAGCTTCTGCAAGACTCGCCTTTGCCACTGTGCATGTAGAATTCCCGCCCTCTAGTGGAAATGGCCGATCACGACCGCAATTTGGATATGTTATCTAAGGAAGATTCACAATGTACTGTAATACAATTTGGATGTATACACCACAGCGTCTAAAAATGCAATGACAGCCCAACGTGCCGTACAAAACAGCGGGGTATGGGCATCCCTGGGGAGAAGAGATTATTCATAAATGCATTTTGTAACGAGAAATAAAAGAGTAATTGGAAAAGAGACATTGTGACTGCACAAAAATAGCCAAGCCTCTTAAGCCCTCTATAGAGAGATGATTAGAAAAAGTGGCGATGTAAATACAAGACGCAATTTGGGGGGGGGGGGAATTTTGGCCCCTCATTTCCAATCGCAGCAGGAACAGTAGCAATGTGAATGAACGAGCAGTTACACGTGGAATTTGTTTAACTATTTTTAAAACCGAGTAAAGCCCCACTGAGCTAAGGAGCTCTATCTCAAGGGTGACTCGGGCGGCAGACATTACCAACATATTCCATAATCACGGGTTAAAAAAAGTAAATAGTATTCATGTTATAAAATTGCATTCGCACTTGAACTTCAGTCATTTTAATAGAGTCAATTTAAATAGCCAGATGGCAGATTGAAGATGCAAAGAGACTAAAATAGGTTACAAAATTTGGGACAGCCACATTAAATAAGTTTTATCCAAATTGTGTGCAAAATCTGGGAAATATTAACAGGCAATCAGACGCATGTCACCAATCTTTAGGATTGTCCAATGGTAATAACAACGGGTCAGATCTATGGACCAATAGCCTTGTAAATGAGAATAGCCTTGCTGTGAAAATGTCTTCTCGCGTCCAAGGACATTTGCCCAGCCATGGCACATTGTAGGTCACAGTGATGCGTCCTCCCATATGGAGCATGCACTGCAAATATAATGGGGCTAGTTTTTTTGTAGAAATCACATCTTTGTGAACCTGACCATTTTTTTCTAAATCAGCTGTTTTTGTACATTCATAATGTCTCTTTCTCAGACGTAAAATAAGTTTATATATAACTTTTTAATTGAAATTGTGAAACCTTATTATAACGCTGCCGCTTTGTGCCCATTCCGGATACCAATCGTCCTGTCCAGAGCGCCTGATTTCCTGTACGTTCCCTCACAACATTGTCCCACATCAACCGTTCAATTTGGCTGATCCCCTCAAATACGTTCCAGTAAATCCTCTCAAAAATCGGTCACTCAAATGAGCTGGAATTCTGGGCGTGCCAGAAAGGATGCCATAAATAAATCCGAGTTTTAAAATTCAACCACAAACAGACATGAATTAAGCCGCGTTCCGTAAATCTTTTTGGAAATCCAGTGTATGAAATGCAAGATGTGCTTGTCGACATTACAAAATATGTGTCGCCATTCCCTAACGTTGTAAGAATTACAATGAATTTGTGTTATATGCACTAGCAATTATAAACATATATTCTTATCTATTGCACGAAATTCTGAGAACACTTTCCCGCTGTCCGCCTTGGTCTTGCCACGTGCTCTTAGTCATCTCACTCTCTTTGGGTTTTCATATTTATTTAAAAAACCAAATACATTCTTCAAGGTCAGCGAATCTCAGTCTTCCAAATCTACTTCAGAGGTGAGTAACCTTCTCAACAACGAGATAGTACATTCTGTAATTACACCACTCTTTGCTCGATTATCTTTATTCACAACAGATATTATTAAAATTGTGCTTTTGTACGTGATTCTGAATCGTCTTGATCTCCTCAGAAACACAGTAAATAATACTCATCATAATAATGGTGACACCACAGCATTCTAAGTAGCTGTAGCAATTCCTCATATTTGGCCGAAAGTTAGATCCTGTATGCAGATCCACGGTAGTGTCCTGCATTACAGCAACCTTATTCATTTTCTAAATGATTCTCCACATATCAGAATGTTTATCAAAGACGACGATGTCTTGATGTACGCTAATACATAATTTATGATGACATCTGATATTGACGATAATGGCTGAAGGATGACGTTTTTTTTCCCACCTGCCAGCGTCCCTTTAGCGAGAAACTCTTTGATGCGGTTTGCGCGACGGAGGTGGAAGGCTTTCGTAATCTCTTGGTTCATGAAGCCCTCGTCGTTCAGAAGGTTCGCCACCATCATGCGCAGGTCAAACACCTGCGGGCATTCGGGTGACAAAACAAACGGCGACACGGGGCGTTACGCCCTGCGCAGAAGCACGCCAGAGCCACCGCAGAATTGATGGATGCTGCTGCTGCTGCTGCGGTGTAATGCCTCGCGCACTTCGACTCACAATGAAGAGGTCACAATGCCGATTCCATCTTCCGGCGTGGCAGTTGAAAACAAATTAATTAACCCCCCCCCCCACTCCCCGCATCTGTCCACCTAGCAGTGTAAATGGGATTATAGACTGCGTCGACCATGGCTGTAAATTAAATAATCAACTTAACGCCTGGGAGCCTGAGCTCTAGAAACGGAGCCACATCCCAGGCCTTAAATGAAATTGAACCTCGCACTAAATGCATTACGTGGTGTAGCGTGTGTGTGTCCAGTCGCCACATTAGTTAAAGTGGCACGAGTGTTGCCAGTGCATCTCATTCAGCCTCCGAATGGATTTTCATTATTGAGCCTCTCCTCCGATGACATCAAGAGGGATTGGTGAAGGCTTTGGGGCCACACGCGTGATGGGAGGAAAACCTCTTCCTAACTCGACAACGTCACACTCCTGACACCCACACCAATAGCCTCACGCCTGCCCCTGATCCCTCTCTGAGGTTGACACGAGACACTAATGGGCCATATGTAGCTACGGCGTCACAACGTTCACAGACTAAGGGCGCCTAATCCACTGACCTAATTCCCTTGGCAATGGTGGCGCTCAAGTCAAGAAGCCCATGTGTTTCCGACCTGCTGAATAAGCCACCACAGTGTATTTCACAAGCCTCTGCAATTAGGGTGATGAATACACTTTCCATTGACTCATCTCAAACGTCATACATATTTGTAATCAATCGCTTGTTGCAGAGCCTCAACTACTATGCGTTATGGTGTTATATTTACTTTTTGAGATTACCAAATCATATTAGCTGCAGACAAAATATATAATAAATTGGTCTACACCATCATTATGGCGGGCATAACGGTACACATCTGTAATTCAGCACCTTGGACGAGGACTCGGTAGATCACGAACAGTTGGGAGCCATCAACAAAAAGACACTGACCAGCTGCTCGGCAATGAAGTGCCTGCAGGATGCTTCTCTTTAACGAACAGCGCTGGAAACATCAGTGTGAGGGGATCGTCATTACCCGCTGTCTCCTCCTGGCAAGGACACAAACCCCTTTCCTTGCTGAATAATTTAGCGTAGATACCCTTATTGTCTGAGTGAACACTGAAATGTTTTGCAGAATTTAATAATGCAAGATACATCGCTGGTAAGGAATAACAAACAAAAAAAATCGATCAACGGAGTGATTTTGTGTACCCATTTATGCTGCTATGTGGACAGAGGAAGGGGGATTGTAGAACCTGGCCCATTGGTTCAACTGCCACACCGGGACATGGACCTGGAACCCTCAGCAGCGTCTGCCACGTAAACGTAAAATAACACATGAATTCCAACCATTCTCCATCCCACGAAAGAATGAAGACCTCCCCACCACAAATTGACAATGGAAGGTTTAGACCATACCGCAACTCTAACTGATCGGTGTGGGAGAACAGAACCGGTTACAATATCACTCGCCACCATCAGACGTGGCTGGGATTTGAACTTGGGTCGCCAGGCTCGTGGCGTGACGCGTGACCCACACAGTGTACCGCCGCTCCGCCCCCCGGCTAACGGACTGACGGGCCGAACGTTGAACTCGTTTAGGCGAGCGTCGCGGGGCGGAAACGACGCGGCTGGCGGGGGCCTTGCCTCGAGAGCCTCGGCGATGGCGGCGATCTGCATGAGCTGCTCCCTGCGCAGGCCCTCCTCGAGGCGTCCCGCGTACAGGTAGCGCAGCACAGCGCGCAGGGGGCCCACGCGCACCCCGCGGTCGGCCGTCACCACCGTGGCGAGCCGCCGGCGGCCCGTGCGGGCGTCCTCGGCCCACTCGAGGTGCACGCTGACGAAGCCGCGGCCCCAGCCCACGAGCGAGCGGGATGCCACCACCTGGGCGTGGAGATCGCTCGGTTAGCGCTCGTCGCGCACACAAAGTACTTGCCACAGATGGACCGCGATCAAAACCTTGTTGATCTCGTCAAGCAGCGTAAACCGTCACGCTAACTCCGGTCATCCTCGCAGCAGCGGCGGCATTTGGCTGGCCGTCGCGCGCTTTCAGATGCGCTTCTGCGGCCGTCTGGAACGTTTTTCTGATATTAGGAAGCCACTGGAGCTACGCACTTTTAAATCTAGATTGAAAACTAATTACTTTAAACTGCTTTTTGTGTTTAGTTTGCTGTCCTTCCTCGCACCTCCAATTAGCACGGTTGGTTATGTACAGTACGAAAGAAGTTCAACATACACGCTAAAGTGCTGTGCACAATTGTGGTGGTAACATTAAGGAGCCACATGCCAACGTTGAGGTTTACTGGACACAACGGGAGGGCTTCGGAAGAGAGCCCGCGTCGTTTTGCTGCTCCCCCGTTGAAGGAGTGCAAGTTTAGGGTCACGTTGTTGTGAAAGGTAACATGAGAGCACGGAACAGGTGGGCCACAGTGAGATGGCTACCGTCGCCCACCGCTGTTTTAGCCACGGTGGTGGCGGTGGTGGTGGTGTTGGCCCATTTGGGGGCCCCTCATGGGATGGCAGAAGAGATGTAGACGAGCGATGGAAATGTAGTGAGATGGCATGAATGTTGTGAAGTAATAAGATGCGAGAAGAGAGACACAGATGAGACAGAGAGGAGGTGACATGAGAGAGGTGTAGGCAAGGGACAGAGGCGTAGTGAGATGTTGAGAGAAGAGAGCTGCAGACAAGATAGAGATGAAAAGTATTCATAAGCTTGTTTATGTGAATTAGCGCTCTGTGTTTGTTTGGATATGAATTAGAGCTGTTATTTGGTGCACTCGAATTTCGTACGTGAGTCGAAGGCCCATTTGAGCTGATTGTGTTCCGAAGCATTTAGTTTAGTTTGCTTAATATTACCGCCACCACTGCGAGCTGCCTTAGTCTCGGCGATCATGGCCCCTGGTCTTTCAGTCAAAACCTTAGTCAAACGATTCCAGTAATTAAATGTTGGTGCGAGGTGGCGCGAAATTTTTCTCTACCAATATTACGAGGTCAGCCAGCCAGTGAACTCGGTATGTAAATGTTTAGACATATACTGTACAGCCAATTACCATGTTTGATTCTTCTTGCTCAGTACAATGCAGTCTCTTAAGAACATAACTCAAATTACCTAAAGGCTCAGACTAATAGTTAATTCTGTCTCCGCACAAACAGCAGTGTTTATCGCACAGCAGCCATAGCCGTCGTCACGCTTGACGATTCTCATCTCCCCGTAGCCACCGTTAGATCAAATAAAAATAAATGAAAAACATCTGGTCACTGATTATTTCCGTGGCTATCCTCGTTCGCAAAACGAGCGCCGCACCTGGCCCAGGCCCTGCTGCGCCGCCGAGCCCAGCTTGATGCTGCCGTCGCTGCGGGACGCTCGAAGCCGCCGCCGGTTTTCGTCGGCCGCGTTGCCGTGGCCTCCTCCTCCGCTGACGCCGCCGCCGACGCCTCCGCCACCTCCACCGCAGCAGCCAGCTTCATCCCGAGGCTCCTTGCTCCACACCTTGAGGCTGAGGGCCCTGGTGAGGAGCCCTCGCCCGTGGCTTCTGGCCTGTAGCCTCTCCGCCGGCGTCTGCGGCGTCTTTTCGGCAGCCTCCGCCGGACGCGGCCGCTCCGCACGCTCCTCCTCCTCCGGGGAGGGGGGGACGTCCGCCTCGTTGCGACTCGGTCGCTCGGCTCCGCTCGGGTCGACGTCTCCATCGGCGCCGCTCGAAACGGCCCTGTCGCTCGCCGAAAGACTTCGGTCCATCTCCGGCCGCTCGCTCTCTTGGCCGTCCGTACCAAAAGCGGCTGCGGCGCCAGAGGCGTCCGTTTCGCCGGCAGCCTGATTGTTGTTGTTGTGGTGGTCGCCCTCGCACTCGGAGGAGGCCTCGAGCAGGTCCATGGTGAAGAGGTCGTGGAATTTGGAGCAGGCGATGGCCAGGTAGACGCGGTGAGCGTGCAGCCGCTCGCCCTCCTGCAGCAGGAAGCTCACGTCGGAGCAGATGGGGGGGTCACCCAGCAGCGTGGCCCAGGGGTCCGGGTCACCGAGAGGGCTGCACGGCGGCGGCGGCGGCACGCGGATCAGAGGCGGTGGGGGCCGGGGCGGAAGGCACGGCTCCTGCATGCGCGGACGCTGCACCTACGGGGTGGACGCGAGGGGGTTGAACAATTTGGCAGTTTACTTTGCCGAATTTTGGCGCATCTTTGAGAATCGAATAACGCTGCCATATTCACGGTAAGGGGGAAACCTAGACGTTATGCGCCACTTTGCGGAATAATTTCAAATTGGCGGCGTAATGCAATTCGTTTCTTTTTTGTTTAGCGCTGCCATTGAACGTCCAATATTGCGCTCGTGTGGAATTATTTAACAAGGTAGCTCAAAGATAATATTTATGTGCATCTGGGTCAGTGCAGTTTTGTAAAGGGGGCAGATATTACTCCATGTACATTTTCTGGGGAATGTAATGGTGAGGGGTTGGGGTAGGCCTGGGCATAGCTGGGAGGCGAGAGTAGCTCAGGAGAAGACATGCTGGTAATGATGATGACAACGAGCACTGCCCACGCATTTGCGTGGGATACACGGCCAAGGTGGAGGATGAAAACACGGTCAGTGTGTAGGGTGAATACAAGGCCAGGGTGGAGGGTGAATACATGGCCAGGGTGGAGATTGGCACAATCAACCGCCGCGAGGCGCAGGGTACACAGGTAGTGCTGCCCCCAGCGCCCCGGGCCTGACCTTGCGCAGGTGAGCCTTCCAGAACTGCAGGTTACGGCGGGCCAGCAGGGAGGCGCGGATGGCGTTGTCGAAGACGTCCTTCACTCCAAACTGCGCGACGACGCTCGTCTCGTAGTACGGCACACCGAGCTCGCGCGCGACCTCTCGACCCCTCTCCGGGGCCAGGATGTCGCCTGGCTTGATCAGCCTGCGGCGTCACGGTCACACCCGCCCAAGCGTCCGCCGGTCAAAAGGCAGTCCTTGTACGGCGTTGTTGAGAAATTAGTAATGGCATTTTTTTACATTTTAGTTTTGCCTACCAAAAGCTGTGGCTGTGTTGTAGAAGGGGAAAATGTCAAAACTGGGTGGTTTTTTACTTTTGCCGACAAAACTGGATCCCAAATGTCAAAACTGGGTGGTCTTGGAAAACGACAGGCAAAACAGGGTGGTGCTTTTTGATATGACAAAACTGGGTGATGTTCAATGTGGACAAATGTCAAAACTGGGTGAAGAAGGTGTACGATTTAATGTATCATTTTGTACACGTTTAGGTCCTTGCGTTATTCATCCATATGTCGCCACAGATTTAGAGCGTTCCAAATGATGTTTCTCGTGGCTCATGTTCCATACCTTGCACCACAAACTTCCCGTTTGCATACTGGCACAGTGTGCCAGCTCGCTTACTTGCCGTTTGTATACTGGCACAGTGTGCCAGCTCGCTACTACAGTAACACTTACTTTCCATATGTATACTGGCACAGTGTGCCAGCTTGCAACTACAGTAACACTTTCAGCTCGCGAACATACACGAACTTGCCATTTGTATACTGGTACAGTGTGCCAGCTTGCATGCTACACCTACTACAGTAGAACAACGGTAGATAGTGTTTGCGTCGAGAAGTATGGTGCTGCACACTTAGAACAAAACATGTTTGTTACATATATATAACTACTTCGACGGGCAAGAGCGCTTGTTGTGGCCCTTGGCGCGACAGAAGGAGCACCGCGTGAGGCCCAATGGGCCACCTTCGCCACGGTTGCGAATCCGACGCTTCTTCGGGCGGCCAGCCTTCTTCTGGCGAGGAGGTGGCATCATGGTGTTGTCGCGTTGCAGCTCCTCGGCAATGGGCAGCTCGATACCGGCAACCGAGATCCATGTCGTGTTGATGGCAGAGACTTGGTAACACACCGCACATGCGTCGTAGAGCTCGGGCATCCGCCCAAACGCCATGAGGGCACGAATGTAGTGCCGACACGGCAAGCCCATCTGCTTCATGTACCCGCACGTGCACGACCGAGAGCTGAGATCAACTCGGCGCTTGGCAGAGGTGTAGGCGTCTGGATCCTTGACGTATGCACGCGTCGAGGTACTCTCGTAGACCTTGTACCTCGGGGCCAACGCCTGCTGAGCGTCGATGAGTCCTTGAGCGTACGGCGTAATGACACGCCCTTGAGCGGCCCACTTCTCGGCGTCGCTGCGGTGGGCAAAGGCCGTCGTCATCATGTCTTCCATGTGGTGCATGAGGAAGTGGAAGGGGTCCATCTCGCGAGCCGGCAGGGCCTCGCTGTTCGTGGACTCCACAAAGTTCGTCGTGCGCCAGCCGTACAATGGCGTCGTGTGCAGGTGCGGGTAGAGCGCCCACGTGTGGGGGTCGATCTTGTTGTAGTACGTGGCCGCCGCAGGCAGAGCTACGCCCAAGCAGCCCAAGGAGCTGCGGAACGCGGCCTCGGAGGCGCACCCTTGGGCATCGTAGATGATGCCTTGGAGGTCGGGCGTGAACGCGGAGCCGATGTTGTCTACGCCGTTGCAGATCAAATGCCGCGTGCAGTGGATGAGCATGAGGTCCTTCCAGTCGGAGGCTAGGATGCCCGTGCCACGATCGCAGAAGACCGGCGTGCCGTCGAGCTCGATGTCGTTGGTCGTGCAGCAGTTGAGAAACCAGTCGTAGGCCGCTGCCGTCTCGGACGGCACCAGCGCCACAGCGAGAAGGACGTTGCGGTTGTTGCCGTCGCGCCCAACGAGGACGAGCATGGTTCCGTTGTAGGCGCGCGCCTTCATGTGCGACCCGTCGATGCCGACGACGCGTTGAAGACTTGGCTGCAACGAGCGTGCGATCGGGTTGCAGATGAACGCACCCCAGAAGATGCCCGCGTCTTCTCGCACACTGCAGGTCGTCGCGTTGAGCTTGCCGAACGTCTCCACCAGCGAGTTGATGAACTCGAAGCCTGCATGGGCCGCACTCTCGTTCGCCGCGATGCAAGTGTCCTTGGCGCGGTACATCATCCGGGTCGGGACAATGACGCGAGCAACGTCGGCGACCTGGGCAATGACAGTCGGTGCGGAGGTACGGGGGTTGGCGCGAAAGGCCGAACGGGCTGTCGTGTTCGCCTCCACTTGGCGAGACAATATGTCTATTTTCATTGCCAGCAATTTGATTTTTCACACAATATTTCCGCCAATCACCGTAACGGTGGGCCAAAGGATTGACCAATCAACGAGATGCGCATTCGTTGGTTTGTTCCGCACCATTGGGACCATGGTCAGGAGCGTCAAGCAGGCTGGTCCATCTCCCAAGGACGTCGCCTTTGTCTCTGTGCTTGGTCGTTTGGCGGGCTATGGTCGAATGCATGGCAAATTTAAGGGTGTACAGTAGCGCGTAGCATCAACCAACAATCCAAAAGTTTGGTATTGACGCGAGTCACTAGTCTAGGTCATCACGCAAGGTGGCAGTGCGCCCGCCTGGTCGCAAGCCCGCCCCGAGCTCACTTCCGAGTCCGAGCCGTAGCTTGAAATGTTGGTCGTTGGGGTGCTGGCACACTGTGCCAGCGTACAAATATCAAGTGTGTGTAGTTATATGGTGCTGGCACACTGTGCCAGCATACTAATACCAAGTGTTTAGATGAATGGGGTGCTGGCACAGTGTGCCAGTATACAAATACCAAGTGTTTGGATGAATGGGGTGCTGGCACACTGTGCTAGTATACAATTATCAAGTGTATTTGACAAATGTCAAAACTGGGTGCACCCTGAGTGTCCAAAACTCAAGTTTTTGGCCACCCAGGGTGCACCCAGTTTTGACATTTGGGATCCAGTTTTGTCGGCAAAAGTTAAAAACCACCCAGTTTTGACATTGTCCCGTTGTAGAAGCGAGCATGCACGCAATGCAATTTGCAACACGATCTGGATTTATACCGTACGCAGCGTCTCAAGATGCTGCACGTGCACAGACATGCACAAACGCGTGTACACGTATACACGAGTATACATGTGCTCATGTTATCCCCATTGGGCCTAATTTAATGTAAAAGCAAACACTGCCAGCAAGCACCTTTCCCGGATATCGCTGTCAGCGTCCACTGGAAGTCTTCTTTAATCGCACAATCAGCAATGATGTATGAATGTTTACCTGATACGTGAAGGGACGGTGTAACAATCGCTACGCATGCCCGGCTACTAATGTCTTTCCAATGCTGATCGTTGACACAACCACACCAGATACTCGGCATAGACAGAAATAACACGGGGTAGGGTCCAGTAAAGGTTCAGATGCCACCTGCGGCTAATGGCCAGGAGTTGAAACCGGGTCACCAGGATTGTAGTAAAGTGGGAAAAGCACTGCACTACTACTCCCGATGAAGTATTTCGCACTAGCACACAAACACACCCAATGCAGTGACACGCACAACAGATACCAATACCAATACCCGCTATTCGCCACTAAGTGACAGTGACGTCACCATGGCGCCTGTGCCAGGCCACGTGCACTTTGAGGCCACATGAAGTGTCGAAGGCTTTCAGACAAGAGGTATCGGGACAGACCCAGGTGCCATGGGTTGGCTGACTGAGATGACTGTTAGATGCACCAGCTGTACCCCCTACTGTGCCAACTTGCTGTATTTGAGCCGCCCCCGCGCTCCTTTCGTTGTTGTGAGCGTCGCTCCTCTGCCCTCCGTTGTTGCTGGAAGGCGAATGCCTCCATCTGCCCAGTCGCTTCCTTCACGAGCCTCCTCCATAGAGGCCGATCTTGACACCGCTGGCACCAGTAGTCGGCAAGTCCACTCAGCTCCACATCCTCCCTACAACAGCAGTCTATCTTTTCTCCAGCCTATGGGGTGCCCGTTTAACCCCCTCTATGCGGCCAACCAGAAGCTGCTTGGGCAACCTGTGGCTGGGCATGCGGGCTATATGACCCAGCCAACGCAGCCTTGCCTGAATGTTTCTAACCGGCGCATATGTTCCACTAGAGGGGTCCACGTTTCACAAGCATAGAGAAGGGAGGGCATGACTGTGGCTGAGAAGACCCAAAGCTTCGTGCAGAGCGACAGACCAGGTAGCTTCCACACAGCGTCACGCAGCCAATGAAAAGATGCCCCCCGAATTATTCGGAGTGACACCTCCCTCTGCTGTCAAACCGGAGCTGGTCATAAGCACACTGCCCAAGTATGGGAAACCCTCCACTCTCTGCACGACTGAGGAGGTGGAGTGTTTGGTAACACAAAATACTCAGGCACAGATACCAGACACCAAATTGAAGGACCGCTGCACAAAATGTTGGCCTGTCATCTCCAGTATTACTATCATAAGGCAGTTCTAATGCTGAATGAACACCTCGAACAGGTTTTTGCAACTTACAGGCAGGATCAGCGAAGCGTTCTTTTATAACGAGTGTCTGTAATTGGTAACCAAGGGGCAAGCAAAGTTTAATTTTGCTGCACGAATACAGCTTCGGTGGAGGGCAGTGGAGCAAAATCCGAAGTTGTATTATACTTCGATGCTCCCACATCTATGCTCCTTGCCTTCACCAACCATTACTGACCAGCATGGTCAAGTATGGTGATATAACTCCCACGACCCGCACGGTGTGGGGAGGCCCTTATCCAACAGTGGATTGACAAAAAGGACTGTACCTCTACATGTCACTGGAGCTTACGTGTCTGATTCTCAGGCTTCTTGGAAGTAAACAAACCCACATTGATGTCATCTCTTCCGACATTACTGATGCTCAGTGTTACAGAATAAATCTAAAGCAATAGCACCGTTAGTGGAAGGTAGCAGAGTACGACTGCAAAAACACGGAGAGGAGAAAGAGGCACGCAAATGGAAAGGAATGACATGGAATCATCAGCCACAAATTGCAGATGATGACGATCATCAACAGTGGAGGGCTGCAGCGGCCAACCATAAAGGGGCTGGACTGGAAGAGAGTGTTAGAGGCAAGGCGTGACATTGGGACCACGTTGAAAATGAGTACGACTCCTGCGTGATAACAATTAAAGTACAATGCAGCTTGGCCTCACCTGGCCTGGCCAGGCCTGGCCTCAGCTGGCTTTACCCGCAGAGCAGTCTGCGTGCACGATTTACAGCCTCCAGGTCGGGCCCTCGTCCAGCAGTGGATTGACAAGGGGCTGTGCAAGTGCACGTACAATGCAGCTTGGCCTGGCGTGGCCTGGGCCTGGCTTGGCCTCGTCTGTCGTGGCTTACCGGCCGAGCGGCCTGCGCGCGCGGTTCACGGCCTCCAGGTCGGCGTAGCGGAGGTCGAGCTGGCAGCCGACGAGCAGGACGGGCGTGCGGGGGCAGAAGTGCTTGATCTCGGGGAACCACTTGGTCCGCACGTGGCGCAGCGAGTTGGGGCTGGCGATGGAGAAGCACACCACCACCACGTCCGACCTGCCGCAGCGCACGAGAAAAGCAGATGCAGGGGGCCAGAGGTCACAGAGGTGAAGCCGGTCCAAGGCCTCTCGTGGAGGTGAAGTCAAGTCAAGCGAACTTATTTTTGGTTCACATTGTGGCACAAATCTTCCACTCAGAGCGCCATCATCACATCATGAATCATAACAATAAACAATTCTATACAGTTTAAGAAAAGAATTAAAAGCAAGTTGTGACTGAGTTGGTTGAACACATTGTACGTGTACTTTCTTTCATCACGATTGCTGACCGCAGACCCAAAGGCTCTGTACACCAAGTGACCAGCAACATATCGCACTATTGAAGATGCAATAGATTTAAACAAATGAACACCTTCTTGGTTCTTTCGGTAAAGTCACGTAGAAGGGAAGTAATAAAATAATAAAAATAAAACATAATAAAATAATTCTCACGACGTTTCGGCCACAACGCAAGTAGCCGTCCTCAGGTGAAACCAGGTCTGTCGAGGCGACAGCGTCTGAATGAAACAGTACACGTGCTTGGAGCATATATATAAGCTGGGTTGGAAGGGGGGGGGGGGCAAAGGGCGCCTTGACAAAAGAATTTGTATATCAAGAGGAATTTAGCATATTTATGGGAAATGCAGGTATGTGATTAGTACTACTTATGTCCGTGCATTATGTACTATTGGCAGAATCCAAGGGAGGGGATATGGGAAATGCAGGTATGTGATTAGTACTACTTATGCCCGTGCATTATGCAGGATTAGCAGCAAACATGGTAAAAAAATGCAACTCTTTTGAGCATGATTCGATGAGTGTATCAGAATCTATATTTATGTTGAATCAAATTAAGTGAGATATACCTACTTTATGGGGACCTCATTTGCCAGCAAAAATATGATAATTGGTTCTTTACCCTTCTATCTGGCAACAAAAAAAAAAGGTGTCAGTTTTGTTGCCAGATAGAAGGGTAAAGAACCAATTATGAGATATACCTTTTTACCTGTACCTGTACTCCATATTCATTCATTTCTGAAAACCTGCATTTATAATATTTTTTTAAAGCAGTTGTACGAGATATACTCGCAATCACTGTACAAGCTCAACCCGCTTAGCTTCTGGGATCTGATAAGATTGGGCGCATTCCATGTGTTTCTGATAAACACTGTACCGTTACTTTACAACAAAGCCTAGGCACCTAGTGAATTAAACTACATGCATTGCAAGCCGAAGCTTAACATTACCGAGGAATTTGTGCCGTATTTGATTCGATGATTTCGGTTCGCGAGTGGACAATATAGATAATGGCTCCCACAAACTGGGAGTGCAACATTGCCCACTACTATTGCCGTGCCACATACAAACCGCTGGCTCATGTGGACATTTTATAGCCACCAAATAATCTAAAGGCATGTTGTTTCTCAATGTGGAGGGGAAACCCCCCACCGAGAAAAATCCACGCGACCACGGAGAAAACATGCAAACTCCACATATACAGGCGTCAGGGTCGGGATCGAACCCACGGCCTCCTGTATACCAGGCGAGGGAGTTAACATCTCACCACAACAGCGCCCCTAACATTTATCCATGCCTAGCGTGTAAATAGGCGAGCGCTTATTACCACTTGGACTTTCTGTGCATTCTATTTACAGTTCTCACAGCAACAAAGTCAAAGAAAACCTTCAGAATCCAACTGAATATCTGTCACAAACTCGTATTTTAAAAAAATTCATTTTAAAGTGGGTAACTTACAAAGAACTTCTTTTTTGATGACTTTCAAAATGATATTTTTTATTGATTAAATGTTTCTAAAGGCTATTGGATTTCTAGTAAAGACATTTCAAAGGTTACATTTTGAAGGTATGTTCAATCAGTGTACTTCAAACTGTCATTGATAAAGACAAAGTGGGCCTCTTCATCATATTAAGTTTCTTATCGGTCTAAACTTTCAAAGGCATCGCAGGAGCAGCTCAATACGTGGATTGTATTCCAACGTTGCAAGAATAGACAAAGCTGGGCTGTCTCTGTGCTTCCTTGATGTAAACAAAGATATATATACCCCAGAACAGTCCTCTCAAGTAACGGTCATTGGGTAACAAAATTCCTCGAAAAACTCTGAAATCACTTTCAAAGCACATTCAGTTCCTCTCTGTTTCCACCAGCGTAAGCAGACGAAGAGGCAAAGGTGCAGTCCTGCAATAGTTAGCTCAACGCCACTGCTGGTGGAAGGGCCCTCTAGAGCTCGACGAGTATAAAACCATCATCACGCAAACTCCGGTCATCCTCGCAGCAGCAGCGGCTTTTCGCTAACCATCGAACGAAGACGGTGACGGCATCGCGCGGTTATCAGATGCACTTCTGAAGGCCGTGTGCAACGATTCCTCCCTTCCGATATTAGGAAGCCACCGGAGCTATGCACTTTCAAATCTCGACTGAAAACGAATTTCTTTAGAACTGCTTTTTACGTTTAGTTTGTTGTGCTTCCCACCGCACCTCCAATTCGCACCGTTGACTACGTACGGTGCGAAAGAAGTTCAACATAAATACATAAAGCTCACTTCAGAAGTTTAGTTTTGATGTATTTTTCCACGCTGGCCAAATTATTCCACGTTTGCGCTGTAACCATTAACACCGCTGGGTGGACAAATGCGGAGAGATTTTTAGGAACATTATGGGACCTCCCTTGCCAGTATCAAAATATAAGAATCGTTTTTAACCTTACTGGCAATAAAACAGTTGTGTTAAGATGTTTAAAACACCAAACAGAAAAAAAATTTCAAGGAATAATGTTTGCATTAACCACACGTACTTGTGGTGAACATGCAACTAAAAAACATGCTCTTGTAGTATATGCATTGTCTTTGAACCGGATTGGTCCACACCAGAGACAGCTTTCTTTAGAGCCTAGTCTCAAACGGTGTTAGACCAGAGGACGCCAAAAGGCGAACAGCACAAAGACAATGCCACTATCAGAACATTGAGAGCTCGGGGTGAGCAGCTACATGATGGGACCTCCCGTGCGTGCCCCGGTGATGCATCGGACCCATCCGCCTTTGGCGTCCACTGGTCTAACACTGTTTGAGACTAGGCTCTAAAGAAAGATGTCTCTGGTGTGGACCAATCAGTTTCAAAGACAATGCACATACTACCAGAGCATGTTTTTTTTGTTTCATGTTCAACCCACGTATATGCTGTTAATGTAGACATGATTCCTTACAAAAGGTTTCTTTTTGGTGTTTTAACATCTTAACACCTGCTCGGTCAATGGCCAGGGTCAACGGCGGCGTGGTGTATTCCGCAAATATGCCCGACTGTGAGGGCGGGCGCAAGCCGGCGTGAGTAGGTTAAACGTTGAATTTTATAAGGGCACCACGGGGTGACCAGCCCCTCCCCACCCAGCCCCACCCCTCCCACCCCCCACCCAGCCCCACTCTCCTCACCCAGCCCCTCCCCACCCAGCCCCACCCCACCCTCCCCACCCAGCCTCTCCCCACCCTCCCCACCCAGCCCCTCCCTATCCTCCCCACCCAGCCCCTCCCCACCCAGCCCCTTCCCACCCAGCCCCTCCCCACCCTCCCCACCCAGCCCCTCCCCACCCTCCCCTCCCCACCCAGCCCCACCCTCCCCACCCAGCCCCTCCCAACCCTCCCCTCCCCACCCAGCCCCTCCCTCCCCACCCAGCCCCTCCCCACCCTCCCCTCTCCATCCAGCCCCACCCCTCCCATTTTTGGATGGACGACGGACGGACGGACACAATAATCCCCTGTGGGCTGGTGTAACCAGGAGGTTCCTACCAGTAAAACCTATTCTTAGATTTTCATGAAACTTACCCCACTGGTTCAGCCGCCGCGCCTGGAGATGAAATCGAACTGATGATCGCTCTGGGTCGCAGCACGTTTTGTGGAATATCACATGCGTTTAATCGGTACAAATTCGAGTCCTGTACAGTGAAGCAACTTTGTCATCATGTTAAATTGTTCATTTGTCTTTAAGCGCCATTTGGCTCAGTCACTCAGCAAAAAAGATTACACACATTCACATCATGTGTCACTGAGAATAGGCAGATTTCGATTTCAAGCTTTCGTGACTGCAGGGATTATTTCGGTAAAGTCACGTAGAAGAGATAATAAAATAACGTGTTTTTCCCCCTTCTACTTCTACGTGACTTTACCGAAAGGACCAAGAAGAAGAATAGGCAGATTGCTTAACATTTAGTCGAACAATTAATTACTCGACGTGCATTTGTCACCAAGCCGGTTTGTAAGCGTTTCGTGGTTTCACTCCCACCGTTCTTTGGTAGAATGTGCCAGGGATATTGCAACAGTGCATGCACTGTCTGCTGTGTCGTAGGCATTCAAATGTATTGTGGTTTGCAGTCACAGTCCAAATGCTCAATGGGAATAGTCAACTGCCGTCAAGAAAAAAAAGAATAACAACGCTCCCTTCCATGTGCCGTCTCCCAGGTGTCCCTTAGAAAACACGCGACACCGTATCCCGTGGTGCCAAAAGGACACCGGATTGAATGGAATTCTCCGAGGGCTTCCGGTTGACCGATCACAATGGTCTTCCAGGAAAGTGGTCCGAGGCAAACCTGATGTTAGCCCTGGCGTGCGTTCAAGCGACAGCACGCGCACACGTGCAGTAGTGCAGCGGTTAGCGCACCGAGCAACGAACACTGGTGACCCGAGTTCGATTCCCCGCTTACGGCCAACACCAGCGACGATTACCTGAACCGGTCTGGGCCTCCCTTAGGTCGACTCAGCCTCAAATTTGTGCCTGATGCGGTGTGTGGTAAACATCGCCACTGGGGAGGCAAAGGCGGTCGAGCGTGGTGCTGGTCACCCACACCCTCGTGTGTGCCACAGTGCCGGCCTTTATAGGTGCTGCTCGCTAACAGCACTTGCCCCAACAGTCTGTCACAGGCTACACGGGGGGGGGGGGGGGGGGTCTTCGTCGTCTTTGTTTGCCCCGTGCGTCTTCTCACGCCGACTCGGCCTGATCGTGCGTGCGGCGCGTTGATGCAGCGCGCGCTTGCTCTCGGGTACGCGAGGGACACGTGAAGGTGGCAGCGATTGCGTGCCCCGATGATGCATCGGACCCATCGGCCAAGGGCACTGCAGTCGCACAGCGTGTCCGTATGACTTTTCTCTCCCCTGTGTAAGTGACTGCCTTCTCAATGCATACATTATTTTGTATTCTGAACATAGTAAGTATCGCGTGAATTTCAATGTTATGACAGGTGCAATTGGCTCATGTGCAGGTTGTTGGGGGATTGTTGCATCGAAGAACCACGAGGGATGGAAACGGCCTGGGGAGGCCTTCATCCAGCAGTGGATTGATCATGGCTGATGATGATGATGATTCAATTAGGATCCACACGCTCAAATAAGCATTGGGCAGTGCACACCTCGAATGGCGGTTTCCGAGACAACGATTTATATTCCACATATACGACAAAAACCGTTGACTTCCCACCAACTGGTACTCATCTACCCAGAGGAAAATGATGATCTGAGTCGAGCCCACTCTCAGATCAGCAGCCAAGTGCTAAAGCAACAGTGCAGCCTCTGAGCCTGAAGTCGTTAGGTTAAGTTTCAATGAAAATTTATCTTTAAAACTTTCCATTAATAGCACAGCAATCTCGCATAGCAGTCTGCCTGCGTAATTTTTTTCATGATAATAGCTTGGGGTATTATGGGCAGAGTAATCCCGATTAGTGTCCGATGTGATTTCATAGGTAATGAAAAGCACAAGGCTGGGTAAATCTTAGAACGACGGTTTTTGGGGACAGTCAATCAGCGCCTGATTGCACACGTGACACAGCAGCATATTCCACGTGTATAACGCGTACTAATGACGAGCTCAGGCACATATCATCGTAAACTTCAAAATAGAAATTAGAAGCAGCGGAGGTAACATCAATCCACATTTTCCCCAGCGCACTAAATGTAACCGCACGCGTTCATTCAAGTGCTTGTCATGCATGGCAATGAAGTGACGCGGCAAATATTGACAACATGAATGGACGTTGCACAGACGGCTCAATGTGAACGAAATCGTCCACTCGGCGGAATTCAGCGAGTGCCCTTGAGCTCCCAATGTTTGGCTCGATGACAGAGAGCCACCCGTTGCCAAGCGTTGCTGGCCAATGGCCACGTCTTCTCGAGGAACGTTCACCTTCAAGATTTGATCAAAATCCATTTTAGAATCAACGGGGATAAAAACGGGAGCAAGCGCGCGCCGCAAAGTCACGGCTCTCGTCGAGTGTTGTTATAAATAGAGGTTAAACGTGCGTACGTTTGTATGTACGTTGAACTTCTTTCGCATCGTACATAGCCAACCGTGCAAAAAAAGATTCTATCCCTGGAAATCGTCTTTATGCGGGGGAAAGCTTGACCAGACGTGATGATTCATCCACTAAGTCGTCGCTTTGGAGGCGAGTTTGGTGGATTTGCGCGGATATCTCCGCGTGCGTTCGTGCGAGACTCCCAAACTGTAGAGCTATGACGTGGTCGGTATGACAGAAAAATAGGTTGCTTACCTATCTGCATCGATTTTTGAGAGTTATAACCTCATACGTATCGGGTTTCTCCAGATGCTGCAGATTTCTCACCAGTGAAAACAGTAATACCGTAATTAAGGCATTTTCCAAATATCCCAAGCAGGACTGTCCTGAATCTCGTCTCAGATTTCCTTCGGCTTTCCTAGATAAATTAAGGACAGTTTCACCCGTTTATACTGGTAAGAACCTCCTGGTTACACCAGCCCACAGGGAATTATTCTGTCCGTCCGTCGTGCATCCAAAAATGGGAGGGGTGGGGCTGGGTGGAGAGGGCAGGGTGGGGAGGGGCTGGGTGGGAAGGGTGGGGAGGGGCCGGGTGGGGAGGGGAGGGTGGGGAGGGGCTGGGTGGGGAGGGTGGGGCGTGGGAGGGTTGGGAGGGGTGGGGCTGGGTGGGGAGGGGCTGGTCACCCCGTGGTGCCCTTATAAAACTCAGCTTGTGCCCGCTCTCACAGTCGGCCATATTTGCGGAATACACCACGCTGCCGTTGACCCTGGCCATTGACCGAGCAACCCAACGTTCCTACCAGCTCGCTCCGCAGGAATGTGTTTTTCAGTGGCCAAAATAGGCCAAATATATATTTTATCTTTTTTGCACACAATGGTATTTATTGACACTAAATCATTGTAGTCACTGTGGTGTTGATAAAACCTGTTGCGATGCAATTAGTAAACTAGGATTGTTCTTTATACATAATAAAGTGTTATATATGTAAATAAAAAAATACATATATGCAAAAATATCCTGCATATAGCCAGGAAATCCTCACTAAGTCTCCAGTATTCTTTAGGAGGGTTTTGCTTGACCCAATACCGAAAGTGCGAGGGATGAAAATCAGGGTACCCAGAGAAAAGCCACAAATATGATAACAAAAATTACGTAGGCACAGCTGAGCTACTCAAGTCTATTCTAGAGTTATGACCCAAGTTCCAGTTAACACGTTATTTAAAGTGTTTATTCCAGTTAAAATGTGCGTGGGGGAGTACAAATCTCAATGGGGCCTGAGCCAACTGTGGACATTTCACATTCGTATGGTAGAAGCCAGTCTCTCCATTTTGTTTTTCATGTCTTACAAACTTCAAACCCCATTTTACTGGTACAAAAGGATGAGCATTCCGACTGAACTCACATTTCTCTGCCGTATTCCGCCTGTGAGTCACAGCCCAATAAAAAACAACAACAGGCGAATACGAATAACGGTTGTTAGTCAAAAAAATAAAAATATGACTTAACACGCTGCAATGAATCTGAGGATAAACGAAAAACGATGAATGCGAGAACCGAAGTTGATTCCAGCCGAGCGTTAAGAACAGTTTTAGATCAATCCCGAAAAATAAAGAATTTAGGTCACATAATTGGCCACCTATATTTAAGTGTGAAGCCGGCAATTGTGACATCTGGCCACGGACAAGATGATGGGAGGGCATGGGTTTGTGTTTTCATTAACATTTCGCATGCCTGTCCACGTGCGCATCTGACATTGTGCGACTCCAGTGTTTACGCGCTGGCAGTGTTTACGCGCGTGCGTGCACATGCGCGCACCGACTCAAAAACGCTAACAATGTGTTCAATTATTCTTTTTTTGTTGCTGCAGGCAAAGCACGTGCGCGGTAAACTGATGACCATGCTGCTTGCGTTTGGCACCTCCCACGGCACACGAGGTCATCTCAAGGACAGGCCGTCTGAGAGTCTGGTTGAGTAGCGCCCGTCATCTATTTTGCTGTGGTGCATTGCCCCGGTCACGAAATGCACGATTCTGCTTTCGGCATGTTTTTCCTGTTAATTTCTGCTTGGAATAGCAAGAGCACGCCATCCACCGAAATAAAAATGTTGACGTCAACTCTGGAGCGGAGCTATCCGATTGTTTAAATCATCGGCTGCTCTACTGATTATAGGTGCAATTTACTCGCCTCTTCCTATAACACGAAAAACAGTTGGAGAAAACAAAGCCTCACCTCTGTTCCGACATGTGCTATCGGACAGGAGGATGATGAGTGGGGCTTGGCGATGGTATCGCCATCATCAGCTGCGGTGGCCTGCAGGGGGGGTTTCCCGCCTTCAAGAAGGCAGGATGTGGGGGCGGACGCTAATTTTTAAAGGGGCTCGAGTAATCGGCCACAGAGAGAGCGTTCGATTACACTTCCGTTGGCAAATCAACTTATTCGGTTTAACACGTAGGATTTCACGACCAATATCATTCATAATTGAGTTTTTTTTCGGTTAGATCGTGAAATTAGATTATTCGGTTGAGCGTCGCGGCTCTAGCTGAATAACAAAGTCAGCCTTGTGTGCACTGGTGATTAAATGACTGAACCTTCAATACCATCAGACACATATAATACTGTATTTTATTTATTCCGGAAAAAAATGATCGTCATTCTTTTTTTATTATTTAGAAATATCCTCCTGCGTTGGGATATTTAGCCAATTTCGAAAAGCGTTCTGCGTCTGAGACGACCTGGATGAAAAAAAAAGCACGCATTGCGAGCGATAACGCTCAAAATCTGTAGAGGCAGGTCAGTAACCCATTTTCTGTACTAGCTGGCCACCTCAAAGCCCTGTGGAGGCGGGGAGTTTTACAGCAAAGTGGTGAAATCCACAAGATCCACCAATGCCGGCCACAATGCGTAGAATTACAGGCATGCGTCACCACACCCAGCATTTGATCAAATCCTCATAAAGCACGAGACCCAGGGCGCATTCTATCTATGCGATGCCGCTTCATTGCTGTAGCAGAAGCAGGTCACCCTGAGTGTCACACATTTTAAGCATTCTCCCTTTTTATTTCCCACACAAGGCAGGTTAGAAATGTAAATGTTGCATCCTCAGTATATACACTTAACGTATACAGCCTGTTTTGTCAATCCACCCCTGGATGAGGGCCTTGCAGGCGGCGAAGGTTGTTTGACCATGCTTCACCACGATGGTCAGTGCAGGTTCGTGCAGCTGTGGCTGCAGGGTTTTGGTGGTACATGTTGTTTATGTCGTTTATTGTGAAAATTCCGTCACAGTTCCTATGATCACTGTTTCATTGCTTTCATGGCTTTATTTTGGTGATTTCGAAAAGTTTTTTGGTTTGGCCATGTTTGTTTATTGTAGTACGGAGTAAGACTGATGGCCTTAATTTAAGTTGTCTTGTGGTTGTTGTTGTTGTTGTTTGACTTGCATCCCACTGGGATTTGTGCACACAGCGTTGGTTTACGGTGTTTTTTTTTCAATATTTTGCTGTCTTTTCTTGGATTTTCTGTTTGCACTTAGTCACATATTGACTTTAAGATGTTTTCTTGTTCATGTTTTTGTTTTTTGTTTGTTGCGGTTGCACCCGATTCAAGAGCCGAATGGCTCACAGGGCTATACGTCGTGAGAATTGTTATATTATGTTTTATTTTTATTATTTTATTACTTCCCTTCTACGTGACTTTACCGAAAGAACCAAGAAGAGGACTATATCTAATAAATGAACTTGAATGTGCAGAACAACAATGGATTGTGCTGCACTGCCCTCTGATTCCCATAACGCTGACATCAGCTGTGTTTTGCTCTGGGAGGTCACCTGTCCGAGGCTGGTACCATAGCCCAAATACAAACACTTGGACAGAACCGCGAGGCCATGATATCACGTAGACTAATAATTTTTTTACACGTGCTTAAGCAAATGTAAAAAAAATATATGTGTATTTTAAGTTAGTCACAAACCAGTTTTAAAACAATTACCCAGCTCTGGCATGCAAGGAGAAGCAAGTAATGGCAATAGGCCAATTAGATGTTAAACTAGCTTCACTACCCGGCTTCGCCCGAGACTGGATTCTTGTCTTGGATTAATACACGGCCTACGCGGAGGGTGGGGGGCGGGGATGCGTGACGTCAGCAGGCAAACTGCGTAACGCTGCCGCATGCGGGTGACATCACAGATGTGACATCACCGCTCATTTGCTGTGCAAATTATATCCATTATTGCGTGCGCCCCCCCCCCCCAAATCCAAAAGTCTATTTTTATACTTTTTGCATTGTGTATCGTCTGGAAGATACCCACATGCCAAATTTCAAGTTTGTTGCATGTTGGGAAGTATGCTAAACATTTCGAACAAACACACATATTCACAAATGTCCCTTTTATATATAGATAGAATATATAAAGGGAATTGATTGCAGTGGAATGGTGTCGCAATGAATTTCCAGTGTCAATGTGTAACGTCCCAATGTGTAATATCTCCTGGGAATTAACGGTGATAATGGATGCATGAAATTTGCAATCAGTTGTTGGAATTCTCATTTCCATGGTGTTGGGAATATATTCATGGTAATTTATAAAAAAAAAGAGTCGAGTCAACATTTCCTGTTATAATGGAATTTTGAGACTGACGCCAAGAATTCAGATAAAGTATTCCTCTGCAAAATTGAAATGATTCAACATTTTCAAGCATTAAAGTATATCCAGATATAAACACTGGTGGCCCTTTTTAAAGGCAATGAATATGACAAATTACAGGTTTTCCTCACTTCGTGAGATTTTGCATATATACTGCTCACCTATTTCTATCCAAAATTCTCCATATGCGATTTAAATTCACTCTACATGCAGCTTATGTGGTCAGACGTAGCACAACACTGTGTGTACCGTACGCCCTACACGGCAAGCGTGTATGCATGCATGTTGAACTTCTTTCGCACCATACATAGCCATCCGTGCTAATCGAATGTGCATTTGTCTCGTGGGGTTTCACTTCGTATGCACCTTGTTTTTTGGAATGCATCTACGACCGCAGAACGCGAGAGAAACCGGTACCATATTCAAGCCGTACGTGGTGCTGCCTTGAGACCTGCATGAGGAGAAGTTCATTCACAAACCACGCTTCTCGCCAGCACGAGCTCGACTTTCTTGTGCAGGACAACTTCATTGCAACGTAAGTCACGTCTCAGATCTTGACTTAAAGCTTTCGTGACTGCAGGAATTCATATTCGTGCATCTTTCGGTAAAGTCACGTTGATAGGTTCAAAGAAAATAACAAAAAATAACAAGAAACTACAGTAGTTTTTAGTTATTTTTTGTTATTTTCTTCAGCAGTTTTTTGTTATTATTTTTGTTATTTTCTTTGAACCTATCTACGTGACTTTACCGAAAGACCCAAGAATTCACGTCTCAGATGTTGCAGTTGATTCTAAACCAACGACAAAATACATCTGCCCAGTACGCAGGCTTTCAGAGCTCATGCCGAGAAAAATGTACCTATGAAAGTGAATCTGCTGCGTTGTGTATCCAAACCTCGGCATGCACACAGTCGACATGACAGGACCACCAAGCACGACTAATGCAGTGCTTGCCAGAAAGGTCGAACACTCTCGAAACAGGAAATTACACTTCCTAGAAAGCACATTTATTTCACTCATGTGAACATTATTTCATGCAAAGCGGTGTGTGACAACTAGACGTTGGTTATTCTGTACCGCATTGATGCATGGTCCAGCAGTTAAATACCCTTCAGAGCAAATGGGCATCGTTATTTTTTGCGAATTCCAATTCGCTCAATGGCCTGTGCTATGAACAAGTAAAGCAGCACAGCTATTCCTGCTCGAGCAATAAATTTAAGTACAAAGCACCTTGGGCATCATAATAAAACTCTTTGCTGACGGCAAACATAATTAGCGTATGATCATAATACAATAAATGACGCACTTGTTTTACCCAGCCAGGTGTTATCGGTCCTCCATGACTGTTTTGAAAGATGCTCTGGCCCTTGATAAACCCCACACATAAGAGGGGAGAATGCCACTCAAACGCGACTCGGACCAGTCAAAATCTCTCCGGCGGCTGTTTCTGATTGGACGGATGGCAATCTCCGCGTGATCTGTCAATCACACCTGCGATTCGGGTATCGCCAGCAGACTTTCATTATTCATCCACCCCGGATCCACTTTTGTACAACGAGACTATGCATGTAGAGGGAAGACAGTCGTGTATGCGGAAGAACACAATCGAATGGCCGAGAGCAACTTGGACGGATTGCGAATACCGCAGACACCACAATGAAGAGAAGGGGCCGACGAAATTACCTCCCGTAAGCAAAGCGCCGGTCTTTGTGGTGATCTCCAAACGTGTCCCACAGGCGCAGGGACACGTTGACTTCGTCCACGACATCCCGTGAGCGCTCCAGCACCTGCACGAACCAGAAGGGGTGCGTTCGGTCATCGTACGCTGCCGCATCGACGTTCATTGTACGAGCGTTGACTTACACGAAGCACACGGGTGGTGAAGTGTTTAGATACGTGAACTTTAGGAGTATTTGGCCGCTGTAAATTTTCACGTGATGAGCCACTTCGTTGATGTATAATTTGTGGCCAGGTCGCTTCTAGAAAAGTGCTTTATCGCTCAGTGGGCCCTACCGAGTAAAGTAAAACATTGTTTAGTTTAGTTTTAGTTTACACGACCCCGGGTATGGCTTGCAGCAATTGGTGGGATGTCTCGAGTGAATGTTCAAGTGGCAGGACTCGTCCCTGCCATAGGAACGTGGCCTTGCCACCATTGGCTCAAAACTACCAATACAGAGAAGCAACCATATGACACAAACACAAAAAAACAATAACGTTTTGCTTAAAATGTTGTTATTTTACTTAAGATACACACGTGTTACAGTTTGCAGAACTTCGACTGGTTAAGTGTGAAGAATGTTCACGTGTCTTACTCCTGCAGAGCCTGCGACGTTCTTGGATGTGGTGTAAAAGCAGTCTGGAGTGACCTTGAAAATTCGGGCATCTGCTGAATTCTTCGACACGAAATAGTAAAACTCATGGGGTGTGCAGAATTAATTCTACAGCCCTGCTTTAGAAAATAACCTCTTCATTCTACAACTGATACCGATCATTAAATTATGAAAAAAACAGACTCGTCGATGCACATACACATGCGCGCAAACACCTATGGTATGAATCTTGACTTAAAGCTTTCGTGACTGCAGGAATTAATATTCTTTGGGTCGTTCGGTAAAGTCACCTAGATAGGTTCAAAGAAAAGAACCAATCTACGTGACTTTACCGAAAGACCCAAAGAACACCTATAGTGTACTCATCCACGTGTGCATGCACACCCTTTCCAACTGCATGTGCATGTACACGTGGATGAGTACACTATAGGTGTTCTTTGGGTCTTTCTGCAAAGTCACGTAGATTGGTTCTTTTCTTTGAACCGATCTAGGTGACTTTACCGAACGACCCAAAGAATATTAATTCCTGCAGTCACGAAAGCTTTAATTCCCTCACTGTATATGCACGTCTTTCCCCAAACACATAGGCACGTGCACATCTACCTGTCCAACTACAGATGTGTGTACTGTATATGCAACGTAACTACCAACCCACTGACAAGCGCACGCACACACACGCGAGCACACATTGACACGGACACTCTATAAACCCATTTGTGAACATACATGCTAAGCAGAGCGCTTGGCATGCTCACACATAATTCAGAGCCATTGGGTCAATACCTGCTACAAATCAGTAATTTAGTGCGGCACTAGCACAGGGCACTGTATAATTTGAGGCGGCTGGAGTATTAGTCCATTGCCTTTTGTTTTGGTGCCATTTCGTAATTTGTGTATTCATTTTTAAGTTTGCTTAAGTAGTAAGGTTTTCATTTGCTTGGTCGTAGCTGTGTATGGGATTTGGTCCTCATATATAATGAATGTACAGTCTTAAGGGATGCTATTAGCATGACTGACGCGATATAAAATGAAAGTATTCATGTGGAAAAATGAGATGGCTGAAATCTCACATTTGAAAATAAATTACAAAAAACTGCCTCCGTCTTCAACTATGGTGATCCTGCTGCCTTTCAATGTGCAGGGTTTGTAAATATGTACAAAATAATCCCATGTCTGTGAAACTCTGAACCTTCAGAGCTATGAGGAGTACTGGAGATGACAGCACAACAAGGAAGCTGTATAGAGTACACTAATCCCTCGTTACTTACGAGCTTGCTATCCGCGATTTTGGCTATCCGCAAAGCGCATCTCAAACTCTACACGACTACTGCATCGAGAGAGAAGGAAAGTGCTGAGCTAAAGTAATGAGAGAGAATGTGACAAGGGAAAGTTATGAGATACACCAGCGTTCTGCATTGTAGGCCCTGCGGGTCACTACCGGCCCCTGGTGGCCTTTCGTGCGGCCCCTGATGTGCGGCCCCCGACAATACACAAATATAAAGACACCCCCCATCATCATCATCGTGCTGCTGTCCAACCCCAATGGTTTCAAATGTGTGGCGGCCCTCTTGGCTGGTTTGCCCAGGTTGGTTATAAAGGACGTTACAGGTTTTTCCCTCGCTTCATGTGTTAGATGCGTTACATAAAAAGGGCCACGCAAAATTAAACCGCGTGTGAGAGCGGCCTACCGAGTAGCGCGTACAGCACACACGAAATGTTGTCCCACGTCCGAACAAATAGCCGCACGTGAGTGAATTGAAACTGCATATTTAGCGAATTGTGGGGAGAAATAAGCTGGCCACATACAGTCTGTTCTCCCACAACGCGATTGAGTTAACAGAACTGCGTCGCACGAGTAAGAATAAGCGGTTGTGCGACTGCCTCGGCGTAGCATCACACAAGGCGGGATGCTGCTGGATGCTTCTAGATGCTACCCACGCGCGCCTCAGTCTTTATTCAGGCTGCGTACGCATCTCACGCGTTATCGCGGACTCTGCTTTGCCCTATATTATATATATTTATGAAACGAGATTTTTCCATAATGCGGCGTTTTTCAGGAATGCAACTAGTACCACGTTACAGAACAGACTGTACACGAAATTGCACAAACTGAACCCGCGTAAAGTGGGGAAACCTGTACTATTATCATAATTAGCCCCTCCTGGTGGTCAATGTGCGAGTTCACTTCTACTCTGTGTTTAGTTTAACAAACATACGCAATCCAACCACATCTAAACCCATGCAACGCTTCTGTACAATATGCTAACTTATCATTATGAAGTGCATTGACCGATACTTGGTTGAGCGTAGAGGCACATTAACATCACCACAAGCCCACAGCAAAATGTAAAAAAAAATCATAATTAATTAATCCAGGACCTATTGTGGCAGTGGTCCACAAGTGTACAGCAACAATATAACTCACCACATCACTGACAGTGTCTTGTCACAGAAGAATATCATCATCATCATTGAATTTAAAATTAATCCAATGCTGGATGAAGGCTTCACCGAGCAGCAGGGGAACGTCTAAATGAACATTTGATGATGGCGGCTGGGCAAGGCTAATGACGGAGTGGCGGCGACGGAACGTAGCGCATTCAAGAGTGTCCGCCACGGAGGTTGAGCAGTGATATTAGCTCAGGAGCAGGTGTTTGGTGGAGTTTTGGATCTCAGGATCGTGAGAGATGGCAGCGGATTGGGAAGGCCTTCATCCAGCAGTGGATTGACCAAGGTTGATGATGTACGAATGTGTATGTTTGTGAGGAGCGGTAGTGTGACGGTTAGCGTGCTGCAATCGTGAACCCGGTGACCCGAGTTCGATTCCCGCTCACGGCCAACACCTGTGACGATTATCTGAACCGGTCCTGGGCCTCCCCTAGGTTGACTCAGCCTCAAATGAGTTTCTGGTGCGATGTGTAAACATCGCCACTAGGGAGACGAAGGTGACCTGGCGTGGTGCTGGCCACCCACCCCCTCGTGTGCCGTGCAGGCCTTCATAGGCTCTCGCTAATAGCACTTGCCCCAACAGTCAGTTAAAGCTATACGGGGGATCTTTGTGCGTTGCCAACCGTGCTAATCGGAGGTTAGCGTGACGAACATCGAGTGAGCGTTGTCCGCGTGGTGCGGCGGCTCACCTCCTGGCACACGCGGTAGTGGTCGATGGCCCAGACGGTGGGCACGTGCGTGGCCAGCAGCTGGTACTGCGTGAGCGTCGCGTTGCAGGCCCGCGCGCAGATGAGGCGCGTCTTGCCCACGGCGTTGTCCCCCACCAGCACGCACTTGATGGTCTCAACGTTGGGACGTTCGTAGTCCATCATGGGTCCTCTGAAACAAACCGATGCAGCAAAACGAACAATAGTAATGTGAATGACTTTGAACGTCACCTTTATGCCACCGCCAACTGGCAGGTCTTTGGCTCAAGCTCCCTCGATCGTCTGCCCGATCTTGGGCTTTCTTCTTCGTTTCACTGTACAGTCGCACCCCTTCCTTCAAGTTTGCCATGCAGCAGTTTTCTTTTTCTGTCCCTTGGCTTCTTTGCCCAGCATCCTCTCCTTCCAGAGTTTCCTTCGTCGAGCCTTGGAGAATGTGCCGAATGCCCTTTATCAGGATTGTCGAACAATGCTACTTTGCCCACGAATAGTTGTTGATCTGTAATGTGTGACCCCGGTTTCGTGGTGCTTGCCAGCATTGTCGTTAATTCCTAGTGCGCTGTGTGAAGTGCAAAGTGTCTCACTGCCACATCAGCAGTGGGGTGGCACTCATCTCCATTTGGATGGAAATTGCACATTTCTGTGGTCCAGATTACTGTCAAATATTGAAAGTTATCAAGTTTGGTTGTGTGTGTCAAATATATTCTTGTAAACTCATTAATCTTTGGGAATGCTAATATGATAATTTTTCCTTCAAAGACTATTGATAATATAGCTGCCCGGGATATTTCTATGGGTGTTTTAAAAGCAGAAATACACAGTGGTTGTTCGAGATACCGTGACGTCATTCGCAAGAGTGGGCCATTTGTGTGCCAACGTCACGGTCCAAGTTTTCCAACATTGAAAGAATCCCTGCAAATTGTTCAAATTCCCTGCAAATTGTTCAAATTCCCTGCAAATTGTTCAAATTCCCTGCAAATTGTTCAAATTCCCTGCAAATTGTTCAAATTCCCTGCAAATTGTTCAAATTCCCTGCAAATTGTTCAAATTCCCTGCAAATTGTTCAAATTCCCTGCAAATTGTTCAAATTCCCTGCAAATTGTTCTCCCCACACCTCCGATTAGCACGGTTGGCTACGTACAATGCGAAATAACTTCAACATACATACACATACATACATACATACAACGACAATAACTCCTTACTATTTATTTACATTTTATAACAGAACACACAACACGCTATTTCCTCGGGGTGGTTGCATCCTTAAATTCTAAGCCAGTGACTTTAATTCCTGCAAATCAATAACTCTGGTGCTTGTGGTGGCTAAATATCCCCGAATTGAATGCGGGTCACAATACTGAGCCAGCATCACTGATACTTGAGTAAAAAATATCAACTTGTGACCACAGAACTAATCCTAGTTCTCAGCAATCTCAGGTGTAGCCAGGTGAAAGTCTGGCCATCAAAGACTGGCTTTTCAATTCACGTGATGTAACGAGCCATTAAGGATAACATAACAAGAATATACACACACATCTGTTAATACTGTACATTCTTTCAGTAAACGCGCTGTAGTCATCTGTTATGTGGTTGCGTTAAGGCAGGCTTATTGAATCAACAGATATTGAAATCGGGCTGTGCTGTCATCCTCCAATTCCCGAGTCATGAGAATTGGCATTTTCTCTGCATTCATACGTTGACAGTATTGCAAATAAATGTGATATCGCAAAATTATTGACAACAATTATAAACATACAAAACAAAAAAATTACCGGTGTACACTCAACTCTACAATTTAACGAGCCATGGCATCATTGTACTCGTGTGACGGCATAATCGGTAAATTTTCCGAATTTTTGGATGTCAAATGCCAAAAACCGTTGGACATGGCAGTGAGTCAACCCCATATTATAGCGACAGACCATCTGCTCCAGCTGATAGGCTTCCGCGTGTAGGGCTGTTGCTGCGTGTGTAAATAAACCATGACAGACTGAGATAAAAAGACAAAAGGGGTTCACGGATGCTCACGGGGATTATTCACAATGTGTCGCATGCAACGCTGTGCGTGCCATGCTCATGGGTGGCTCAGAGGTCAGAGCGCTGAGCTCGTGCCGCGGAGATCCTCGGTCTCAATCAGGACAGCGACCTTTGGTTAAACCGCATTCTCAACTTTAACGAGTTCATGGTCTCGGCGCCAGGAAACCAATGAATGTGCACACGACAAATCATCACATTTAATTTTGACTTAAAACTTTCGCGACTGCAGGAATTCATAGTTTTGGTTCTTTCGGTAAAGTCACGTAGATAGAAAATACAATAAAAATAAAAGAAAATTAAATTAAATCAAATTAAATTAAATAAATAAACCCACCTGTGGGTTTTTTTGCTTTTATTATTTTCCTTTTTATATAATTGTATTACCTTTTATTTTATTTTATATCTACGTGACGTTACCGAAAGAACCAAGAATATCATCACATTCAATTTGGTTCTGCAATTAATATGGCAAAATTCTACCTCTTGGTATAAAAAAAAAATCGATTTGACTGTCATGCTACGAACATTCATCTCATCTGGCAGGACCACTGGGGAAATTGCTGCCCCAAGTGTCAAAAACAGAGGTCTCTTGAAGGGATCTCAGAGCTAGCTCTGTGGTATCTGCTTTCACGAACACAAAGGATGCTACTGCTCTGCAAGAAATCTGAACGGATTCTTCATGGCACCGATCAGGATAACATTTTGGGAAACGGCAAAAATGTATAAGGGGCCGTCCATAAATAACGTCACGCACCTAGGGGGGGGGGGGGTCAGACATTTGTGACGATGTGTGACGAAGGGGGGGGGGGGGTTGAGAAATGTGACGTCACAACAAAATGCGCAACTTTAAATAAATATAGACAACACGTTCTACTTAATTAAATATACTTTTTAATAAATGTTTTCTCCTACAACATCAGAGTGCAGCGCCACATTAAATACGCACTACAATTACAATAGCTTAAAGCGATTTGAAGCATTTTTTATATTTTTTGTGACGTCATATTTGAGGGAGGGGGGGGTCTGACTTTTTGTGACGCCGTGTGACTAGGGGGGGGGGGGGGTAAAAAATCGTCCAAAATCGCGTGACGTCATTTATAGACGGCCCCTAATTCCACCGACCTACTTGCTGTACAGACTATATAAGAAGCACGTAATTTCCCAGCTCCTGAGCATCTCAAACACAACAACAGTAATTCCAAGTCGCTGTATGACAGGCGTGTCACGTGCTTACAACTAGAAATGAACTTGACAGATATTAAAAATTATTATCAAAAATCTTTCCAGCGAGCTTAGGTGGTGCTGTTTTCCTTACCAACCTATCCAGTTGCCATGCTTGCTCACACAATAGATTGAATTCTTCACTCATCGTTCAGCTAAATGTATTGATTACCCATCGAATTAGTATTGTCTAATAGGATTTATTTTGCACCAGGCTCGTGTGCCGTGCACTGGCATGGTCGGTGTTTGTACATTTTAAACAGCAACGCGAAACGTACGACTGACATTGACTCGTGGGCAAGTGGGCACGTACCCATAATAGCTGTCAACACACACAGTTTACCCGTATTCTTGTACAGGGGAATTGAGCTTTCAGGGCCATACGGCATACAGCCGTTTCAATACGGGCAAAAAAAATTGTCTATTTGTTTGTGTTTCTCCCTTGTGATGGGACTGTAGGATGCACGTTCAGATGTATAAGGGGCACGGCGTGACCAATGAGGTCTGAATTGGTCTGTAATAAGATAGTCACCAATCAGGAGTTGACAGGTATGCATATCACATAACGTACTGAGACCTGGGTTATGTTGCTACGAGAGACTTACCCCACTGAAAACAAACTACATTCATTGAAGGCTCTCCCAAATCTTTGTTTTACCCAAAACAGCGGCTCGGCGTCCCAGCCCTGCGGGACTGTGGCGTGCCCACCACAGGCACCGCCACGAGGCGAGCCCCGTGGGCCTCACGCCGGCCTCGGAGGCTGCTGCTGCTACCCCTGCCGAGTGCCGGACGCAATCGCTGCCGTGACCGTCGCTAATTAAATACTTCCCGAGAAAAAAACGCAACGTGCTGAATGAAAGTCGACTGCACACTGCGTTCGGTGTGCGTCGTGCTTGCTGGCCCGTGTATGTTAGCCGTGTAATGTTTCCTTGAATACGCTTTTCTGGAAAAGCGTATTAAGAGCTTGAGGTGCACGGCCAATGAAAGTACAACATGGGTGTTACAATATTCGTGGATGTGAGAGAAAACTGGAGAACCCGGAACATCACCTCGACACTCTCGTCAAAGATCTAAAGATATAGGTCAGCATCCAACTTGCTGTACTGCAATCCCGGTGCCATCTCATAGCTCTGTAATACTAAGTGTCTCGTGCACACGATTGTAGCTGTTCCAGTACTTTTATTCCACACACAGCTCCCTCCTTCATCCACAGCTCTCTCCTCTCGTCCCTCCCCTCCTATCCCCACGGTCCTCTTATCCTATTCCCTCCCCTCATCTCCAGCCACAAAGACAAAGATCCCCCGTGTAGCCTTAACAGACTGTTGGGTGCAAGTGCTGTTAGCGGACACCTATGAAAGCCAGCACGGCACACGAGGGGGTGGGTGGCCAACACCACGCCCGGCAGTCTTTGTCTCTCCAGTGGCGATGTTTTCTACACACCGCACCAGGTACTCTTTTGAGGCTGAGTCGACCTAGAGGAGGCCCAGGACCGGTTCAGATAATCTTCACCGGTGTTTGCCGTGAGCAGGAATTGAACCTGGGTCAGCAGGTTCGTAGCGCAGTGTAGCGCTAACCACTGCCCCACCGCTCGCCTACTCCCGGCCAACTCGTTGCAGGGATTGACGTCAGTGGGTATAGAGGGTAGGGCAGGGGTCGGCAACCAAAATAACAAGAAGAGCCATTTCTTTCCAATTCGGTACAAAATTCAGTATTTAAAGAGCCGCAATGCATACTGTACATACGTACATATCGTCAAGAAGCAGCCCGTAAAGAGCCGCATGCGGCTCCAGAGCCGTAGGTTGCCGACCCCTGGGGTAGGGGAATGCTCATGTTGTTGGGGGGGGGGGGGTCATTATCAGAGTTGTCATCCCCATACGGTCTACCCATTTCTTGTACAGGGAAATTGTTTCTCGC